CTTCTGGAGGCAGCTGATAGACTACGAGCGCCAGCTTTTTGGGAAGTCGACAGTTAAAATGGTACAGACACCTTATGGCATAGTTCCAGACGTTTATGAGAAGGAGTCCCGACACCTGATGCCTTACTGGGGGATTTAATGCCACCAAAGCCTGCATCAGCAGCCCCTCAAGCAGTACCAGCATCTGCTACATACCGTCTGCTCCCCTCTTCACCTTTCTTTTCAAATGGTTGACTTTTTGGTTCTCCCTGAAGTGTTTCTTACACTGGGTATTCAAGTTTATTTTAAGAGGTAGAGAGGAGGGGAGGAACATAAGGGGAATGCATACATTGCTAGTAACATTTTTAAAACTAACATTTTGGAATAGTGTTTATGAAAATCTTTAACTGGCTTTTAATCATTTTTAATAATTTGAACAGTTTAATAAACTGGTTCTGCTCTATTTTGAATCCCATGCCTTTTGGCATCATGACAGGTGCAGGAGGAACTCAGTGCAAAAATTACTTTGGGCCCTGGTTAGTCCTCCAGAGACAAGCTCTGCCCAAGGCTGCTGACCACACAAGGGCTTAGGGAAGATCGATACCAGCTTCAGTCTCTACTGGATTAGCCCTACTCTTTCCTTTCCCCTTTATTATTTAGTAACTTTGTAAACACCTTTATTATTTAGCTGTTAAGTAATATAACGAAATCTGCAAACACCCTCTTGGAATCAATGTGTCCCAGGACTATATTAACATTATTTTTAATAAACCTATCTGCTTAACATATTAGAATTTTTACTAAGAAGAATTTTAGGGTGTGTGTGTATGAGTGTTTTGATGGAAGAAAGACGCTCTCTAATAATAGTTTAAAATATGGCTGTCCAGTGACAGTGATGAACACTACTGAAAATAGGCATCGCCGCTGAATTGTGTCGACATTGCACATCCTTGCAGCTGGGCAGATATTAATATCGTTTACAGTGCTGGAACTGGATAATAGCATACAGTGTACATCTTGATTAAAAGTCGTTTCCAGTTGTCTCTTGGTAACGAGTACACCACAGCAGTGAATCAAGAATTTGGTTTTTCACAAAAGGTATGCTCTTGCTTGACTATTAAAACACACAGATGCCCTAAACCAAACCTTAATACAGGTGATAAGCAAATAACAGCTTCCTTTGTTCAACCTTGGACAAAGTTTCAACTGCTCCTAATAAATTTGACAACACAACTCATCAGGGACTTGGTAGTTTAATTAGTTCTCTATTCCATGTTCCTGAGAAGCCACTGGGCATTACCAGGTTGCCCATTACTTTTACATAGGGTGGCCATTTAAAAAATAAAAACAGTCATAGTACTGGTTTTTGTTGTTGTTGTTTTTTTTTTTGCTGGGTAGGTTGTAGCAAGCTTATCTGTGGAATAATTTTATAGAATTTTGGTCTGTTTTGGCAAGAAGCCATGACTATAATGCCAGTGGCTACATATCTATATAAATTACATCATCCAGATTTCACCTGGTCTGTGGCAGTGGTAATCCATCCAAATTGTACCTTTTCTTGTTTTATACCATTTGCCCTCTTTTATTGTCTAAATAGAAAAATTTTTTTTAAATTTTATTTTTTTATCCTCACCTGAGGACATTTTTCCATTTTTTGTTCAGATAGAGTGGGGGAGGATGGGAGAACAGAAATATCGACGTGAAAGGGACACATCGAGTGGCTGCCACCCACACGACCAACCAGGGCCGGGGACAAACTGCAACTGAGGTACGTGCCCTTGGCAGGAACCAAACCCGTGTCTCTGGACCACAGGCCGATGCTCTAACCGCTGAGCCAAACTGGCCAGGGCTGAATAGAAAAATTCTAAAAAAATTAAGTTTCTATGGGAGATCAGAGGAATCTAAATGCTACATCAGCACATGATCAAAAGTCAATCAAAAGAACAAAACAATCCTATGGCTATGAAGTCTGGTAGTCTCTGGATAAAAGTCCAAAAGAATTGTACTATAGTAAAAAAACACCTAGTGACAGATGTTCTTAGTAACTAAGGAAAATTTCCTGCAGAAATCCTGGAAAACACTACTACTGGGATGTGATAATTAAGAGCATTCTTAGCACCAAGGAAGCCTAACACCTTTCTAATCCAAGTGTCAGACTTTATTAGCAGGTCACAAAGGAAGTTGTGTGACCTAGAAGGTGTTAGGGGAATTTTTGTAGTGAGCCCGTGCAGGGCAAGCATTTAACATTTATGTAACATAAAGGCTCTATAATCTTTTCAAAGCTTAAGAACACTCGCCATTCTATAAAAGGCAAGTAGAAGTCATCTTTAAACAACAAAGAATACATAGATGCACACAAAATAATTTAAAGTGCACACAAACTACTACAGGAAAACAAAGAATGGATAATCCTAATATACCCCGTGCTGCCACTTCTACCTTAAGCATGGCCAGACAAAAATTATACACTATGCTATAAAATCTTTAAAGGCAAAATACAATAAAAAAAGGAGGGGGGAGGAGCGCTTGTTAATTGCCACTTAAGCAGTGGGGTGAAGCTGCTGGCACAATACATAGTATGGAAATAAGTAACCTTGGTTACTGTTTCCAAGGACACTGCTCTTGGCTAACAGGAGCCGAGGTGAAGCTGAATGCAGTGTTCAGTCATTTTAATAAACTTACATAAATCAACATAATGGTATTCCACACTCCCCAAATCCTTACTGGTGGTATCTAATAAAGCATTTCTACTATTAAACAGATAGGAAAGTAATGAATACTTTTCATAGCAAAGACTTTTGGTTGATGTGTGCTATATTTTCCTCTTGTACCTACCATGGAGTGACTAAGTCTGGTCAGCAGTAATTATACTTACAAATTTTATCTGAGGCATTCTGGAATATATCTAGGAATGAGGATCTAGTTAGCATACTTTTTTTTTTTTTAATTTTACTTTGTTACAGATGTTTCTCCTTTTTTACCCCATTGACACCCTCCTCCCCATCCCTCCCGACCCCGTCCCCAGCTTTGTTGTCCATGTCCATTGGTTATGTGTACATGCATATAAGTTCTGTGGTTTATCTCTTCCCTCCCCCCAACACCCCCTAGTTAGCATACTTTAAAAAATGTTATTAATACAGGTCATAGAGACAGAATAATCCATATAGTGTTTTTTTTTTGTTTTTTAATCCTCACCCGAGGACATTTTTCCATTTTTTGTTCAGATAGAGCAGGAGGGAGAGAGAGGAAGAGAGAGAGAGAGAAACATCGATGTGAAGGGGCACATCGAGTGGCTGCCACCCGCACGACCAACCAGGGCCGGGGACAAACCGCAACCGAGGTACATGCCCTTAGCGGGAACCGAACCCGGGTCTCTCTGGACCGCAGGCCGACGCTCCAACCGCTGAGCCAAACCGGCCAGGGCATATAGCATTTTTTTTAAAAGCAATATAAATTGTCAAACTGGGTGACATTCTTTTTTTTAAATATGTTTTTACTGATTTTTTTTGAGCGAGAGGGAGTGGGAAACATCCATGTGAGAAACATTGATTAGCTGCCTCCTTCATGCCCCCTACTGAGGATCGAGCCTATAATCCTGGCATGTGCCCTGACTGGGAATTGAACCCGGAGCTCAGTCCATGGGACAGCACTCAATCCACTGAGCACACTGGCCAGGCAAACTGGGTGACACAGCAAAGGTAGAATTTTGTTGTGGTCAATTACAGAATGTACAAGACCAAATAGAAGCCTGCTTGAATCTGGGTGCTATTTGAAACCCTAGGTGCTGTTCAGGCCGAATTGGAGCAGGGGCCTCAGGAAAAGCCTGCTGGCATCTGGCCCACGGATGTTACTGGCACTCCACTAGCCCTGCGGAGGGCAAAGGCTCTGAAGGTAACAATTCAGAGACAGCTGTCTCAGTCCTTAGTAGCTGGAGATGGTACCAACTGGAGCAAATGAGAAAAACAAACTTACCTCAGCTACACTCCTCTGCATTTTGGTGCACAGCAAGGCCAAGCAGAAGCCTCGCTGATCACTGTTAATGAAAATGTTCTATACCTTTTCTGGAGAAAATGGAGGTAAAAGGTGTAAGATGGAACAAAACAATTCCCTCAAGTTTTGTCCTGAGAAGGGAAAGTAATTTAATTATGTAAAGCAGCAATTATATAGGTAAAACCAAATTTTTCAGTTACAAATAAAAACGAAGTCTAGGTTTGACAGCATAAGTTACACGAAGTGCAACAAAAGATTAGAACCTCTTCATAAAGCACATAAGTAACAGAATGTGTGTCCTAGATCGGCATGCTCTTCCAAGGAACGACACAGTCCTTAACCACTTGGCTTCCCCCATTCTCTGCATTAGTTTAAGTGACGACAATTCCCTACAATAGCACGAGCCTTCTCCTAAAATTCAGTGGTTTTTGAACAGTTTTCTACTACTAAATTCTGTTAGCTTTACCATAAATACACCTCACTAAGTCAGGAATACCACCTTCTAACCCTGAATTTTTCGGTTTCTCACATACAAAGATAATATTGGTACCTATGAAGTCATTTTTGGAAATCTGGACAGAGGCCACTGCAAAGAGATTTTATTCAGCTGACTTTCCAAATCTTGTCAGAAAAATATAACATGTTCACAGTCATGAGGTAAAACAAGGTTTTCAGTGAATGCTAAGGGGAAGGATATTCATCATGATACTCAAGGATTTGGGCCTCTGTCAAAATGCACGTTCTCTACTGCAAAGTGCCCAGGCATGTTTTGAGAGAAAGTCTTGAAGTTGCTAGTTTCAGAAATGAAAGCAAGGAGCAGGAATTGGTTCAGCTGCATCAGCAAAGTTGGGAAATCTGCCCTTCCCTACCTGCCATTGGTCAATGGAGATGAACAGGATATTTTCTATAAAAAGAACATGTTAATTACCATTTCCTCTCTTTATTCATTTCAGATATTAACACACTGAATGCGGATAAATGCACTCTACTTCACAGGACAATAAGTGTTCTAGATATAAATAAGTACTGGCTTAAAACATTCTTGCTAATTCCAGTCCTACAACAATAATTTATTTTTCTTCAAATGGCAACTCTTCACAGTTTCGATACTGCAGCAGCAAATTATTGTGGTCCATATCTGATAACATCTTAAGAGAACTAGAGATCAGTTAGCAAACTTCTGGTGCCACATGCAGTTTGGGTAGGACAATTTCACTACAAATCTCAAAGACTGGCCGAGGGAACCAGGCGGCAGAGGTCGTCTGTAGGAATGACCGGGAACTTACGCAGCTTTTTTCCTGCCCACCTCTTGGGCAATTCTTCATATAAGTTCATGGAGGTGAACTTTGCAGTACGTGCATTCTGTTCATCGGTCCCTGTCACCCACAGGTGCGATGGAAAAAGAAATAACCCAACTGGTACTTCATAGAGGAGCTTTTCAGAGCAAATCAGGCAGGATGAGGCCAGGAGGTTTTGGTTCAACACAGTTGATCCAGAAGTTGGCACAGCTGGCATGATACTGGTGTCCTCCGTATGCCAGCTTGAAACTGTCTGTTTCTGAGTTGAATGCCTGCCGGAAATAAACAGACACGTAGAGCAAGTCAGGTTCCTGCACCTAAGAGCTCATCAGCAACCAGCATGCACACTTTTTCACAGAAGTCAAACTGGCACACACACAAAAGCTGAGCAGGTGGCTACAGAAATTCAGGTAAAGTTTTTTGCTGTTAATTATAGGTATAAAAATATCTTTACCATTAAACCCAATTTCAGCAAAAGAAGGCCAAGTATTTCGTAGAAAAGGCAGAGTCTAGGAGAGGAGGAGGGTGTCCCGATATGGTGAACTAAAATAGCTAAGGGCTGTCGATCATTTTTATCCCTCATTGTTCTGAAGGGAGCCCTTCCTGGAAGGCTGGCATTTGACTATCACATGTAATCCCTTAAATTTCTGTGGCTAATTACAGTCCTATCATGAAAGAAAACAAAAGATTATAAATTCTTAGGGTCTCATGCCATTGGGAGCTGATAATTGAATCAACATAATTAAAAAGTTCATGCCCTGGCTGGTTTGACTCAGTGGTTAGAGCATCGGCCAGAGGACCAGAGAGTCACATGGTCCATTCTTGTCAAGGGCATGTAGGTCGGTTGTGGTTCGGTCCCCAGTCCTGGTCAGGGTTGTGTGGGAGGCAACTAGTCAATGTGTTTCTCTCACGTCAATGTTTTTTTTTCTCTCTCTCTCTTCTCTCTTGGTCTCTCCCTCCCTCCCTCCCTTCCTATCTGAAGATAAATGGAAAAATATCCTCAGGTGAGGATTTAAAGATAAACAACTTTCAATTAAAAAAAAATTCAAATAGGTACAAGGTTTATAAAAGATGAAGATATTAAACACATAAGAACTATTTTCAAATGAGCAATGCTTATAGGTGAGTTACAGCCAGCCAATCTTAACCACAACCACATCCTGGAATGCTTTTTAAAGCACTACAAGTAAATAAATAAAACTCTAAAACCCAAACTATTTGTTTTTGTCTGATAATGGCCAAATCTCGAAGCGCTTTAATCTCATTCTGTGTGTTACTCTAACTTCCAGTCTTCCAGAAGTTGCTCATTCTGTTACCCTGCTCATCACAGAAAAATAACCACAACACCAGAAGCCAATTATGAGATACAAGCATGCAAACAAGACGGAAGTGGATCCACACAGACAGTTGATTAAATCAAACATTATGGGAACAAAGGTGACTCAGTCGAGATTCACAATTGGAACGGGTCAGGATGGCAGTGGAATCATCTGATTTGCCTTCCACACTCAAAATTAAGATGGAGACACTAAGATAATGTGTAATTGATTCATACTTTTTTAGGATGTTCCTCTGCAGGCTTCTCTTCTTTCTGAAATAACGTTGAAACCATAAGGTCAACATAATCCCCAAAACAGAGACTCTTGCCTACAAACAAATCCTTGTGGGTAACCTGTTCTCCTTACCACCCCACCGTGCGCAGGGTGCTGTAGACACAATGCAAAAGCACACTCCCCAGAAAGGGAACTGCATGTGTGCTCTCAGCAGCTTTCCCACTACCCTTCTGAAAGAGTATGTCTATTTCTGTGGTCAGATTTCAGGGATTCATAAAATCCCCACCACCTCTGGGCACAGCCCTTGTACAGCAAAGTGGTCTATACTGGGTTGTCCCCCAGGTCATGTTAGAAAAGCACTTTGCCATCTGCAGGGGAAGGCATGTGACTCACCCGGCTCCTGGAGTCCACGTTTAACAGGCACACCCCACAAGCAAGTTCCTGAGCATTCTTAATCCCAGGCCGCAGCATACAGGAGGAAAAATCCAGCGAATTTTCATCGGGCTGTGAAAACAAGACAAATGGGTAAGAACCCAGCAATTCCGAATGCTGTGGTGGGTCTCAGGCAACAGTGTGGTGAAAGCCCTACTAGGGTAGGGTAAGTACTGAGTGCCAGGGCCTGGCGGTGGTGGTGGTGGGAGGGGAGGCTTACCCCAACCCAAGGGGAAAGGAGCCTGATGGCAGAGAACACTCTTCCTAGAACTTAGAAACAACTTGGCTGGGTCCTGACGGGGGTGTGCTAGGTGAAAGGGTGGGATGTATGAGGTGGGGAGGGAAGGATATTTATTCCATGTAGAACAAGCAGCCCGGGCAAAGGATCTTAGCAAAAGATTGGGGATGGGAAGAAATCTAGGGATGGGAGCCAAACTTACGGAAGGGGTAAGAGGTGGAACTGGAACATGAGGCCTTGAAAGGAACATAAGGGGTTGAGGCTCTATCCTGGGAAGCAGTTAAGGGCCCTAATTGGATCATAACACAATCAGGTGTGTATTATGGACAGCTCCCTCTGGTTGCAGTACAGGCAGTGAATTGGGGAGGCAATCTTCAAGGTGTGGGCCTCAGTCACTAGGCTGTTGTAGTGCTCCAACAGGGGTATGGAGAGAAATGGACACATGGAAAAGCAACCAAGGCAATAGAGTCAACAGGCCTGGATACAAGCAGGGGGGAGGCTTGGGCAACTGAGAGGATTTACCGCAATAAGGCACATGAGAGCAGAACCAGATCTGGGGTGGAGGACAGGGAGAAGAACTCAAGTTTGGTACAAGCTGAGTTAGAGCTGCCTATGGGACAGCCAAGTTCTAACGTTACATAAGCAGACAGATGGCTATATAGTCCTAGTGCTCAAGAATGAGTGATGTGGAAGTTATTAGCTAGAGAGTAAATCTAACAGTGGCTAATAAGTGAAGCTGTTACTTGTGCTAAGCACCTGGGACCCTGAGTGAGAAGGATGCAGCAGAGAGAACCCTTCACCTTGAGATGGGCATATAGCAGGGGAGGGGGTCTGGTTTGTAACTGCAGCATAACCTAGCCTAATTTGACTGATACAAAGTGTTCTAGACACAGGCTCCACAAGCAATTCCAGACTTTTGGTTTGGGTTACAATGTACCCATTCTTGGATACAATGTTTTGTGTAATTTCCCCTATTGCTGCTATAACAAATTAGCACAAATTTAGTTGCTTAAACAACATAAGTTTTTGCTCTGTTTTGGAGATGGGGATTCTAAAATGGGTCAGCAACGCTGCATTCCTCTGGAAATTCTAGGGGGAAATCTACTTCTTTGCCTTTTCCCATTTCTAGAGCCCGCCTGAATATTCCCTGGATCATGGGCCCATCTTCCACCTTTGAAACCAATAGCACAGCCCTGGCCGGTTTGGCTCAGCAGTTAGAGCGCCCGCCTGCGGTCCGGAGAGACCCGGGTTCGGTTCCCGCTAGGGGCATGTACCTCGGTTGCGGTTTGTCCCCGGCCCTGGTTGGTCGTGCGGGTGGCGGCCACTCGATGTGTCCCTTTCACATCGATGTTTCCCTCTCTCTCTCTTCCTCTCTCTCCCTCCCACTCTGTCTGTACAAAAAATGGAAAAATGTCCTCGGATGAGGATAGAAAAAAAAAATGAAACCAATAGCACAGCACCAGCCAATCTTTCTGTTGACTGTCATATCACCTCTTCTCATTCTCACTCTCCTTCCTTCCTCTTAGAAGGATCCCTGTGGTGACACTGGGCCCACCTGGATTATCCAGGGTAAATTCCCCATCTGATAACCCTGAATTTAATCCCAACTGTAAAGTCGACTTTACAATATAAGGTAACAAATTCCAGGGATTATGCACTGACGTCCTTGTGGCAGAGGGCATTCTCTACCAATCACATCCACCTTCTGTCAACTGAGGAAAGCCATGCAGAGACATGATGAAGATCCTGTCTCTATAACACTATGCAGACTGGCAAGATGATAAAATGCCATCATAATGAAAAATAAACTCTTCTCGCCCTGACTAGTTTGGCCCAGCGGTTGGAGCGTCCCGCAGACCAAAGAGTCATGGGTTCAATTCCAGTCAAGGGCATTTACCTCGGTTGCAGTTCGGTCCCCAGCCCTGGTCAGAGTCGTGCAAGAGGCAATCAATTGATGTCTCTCTCTCACATTAATGCCACCCCCCCACCCCCCCGTCTGAAGATAAATGGAAAAATATCCTTGGGTAAGAATGAAAAAAATAAATAAATAAACTGTTCTCCTGATATGCCACAGCAACAGGAAGTACTCTGAAATTCACTGCTTGCTTCACATTGAAAAGAAGCACAGAAGAATTTGTATTATACTGAGGATAACAGTGGAATCAAAGAGCCTGTGTGATTTTCAACTGACTGGAGGCTGGGAGAATGAACAGTCCTGTCTTTTCTCATAGATTTTATACGGCAGAGATGGACCAGTTTTGTTTTCCAGGACAGAGTTTTTCTTTGTTCCAAACCTACTAAATTTCAACCCATATCCACGAGATAAAACCTTAAATAACAATTCACTTGTCTTAAGAAAACAGATTGACTTTACCTCAGTTCCTGCCCAGTCTGTGCCTAGAGGAGATATGCTTCTACCACAAGAGGGAGCTTGAGTTCACGGATAAAGGGTGTATAAGAAAGGAAAGGGGAATATAAAACTTTGCTAGTAGAACTTCCAGCTTAAGTAAAGATTAAGGAGCCACAATTTGGAGATTAAGACGGTGTACTCTGCTTTCCTTAGCCCAAGCATCATGCTTGCAATGCAGCACTAGCCTTCTGGAACTTCTTTGCTGGAGAATAGTAATAGCTGTCTTTTTTTAAAATCCTCATTCAAGGATATTTTTCCATTTATCATCAGATAGAGTGGGAGACAGGGAGAGTGGGAGAGAGAGAAACATCAGTGTGAGAGAAACATGGACCAGTTGCCTCCTGCAAGACCCGACCAGGGCCAGGAAAGAACTACAACCGAGGTGCGTGCCCTTGAGCAGAATCGAATTTGTGACTCACTGGTCTGCGGGCTGACGCTCTACCTACTGAGCCAAACCAGCCAGGGCAGAAAGGACTTTTAAAGGATGATGTGCATTTGTATTCCAGATTTGTCAGATTTATGAAAGTTTCATCTGAGCCCCAATTTCTTCACCTTTAAAAATGAGGATTACACTACTCACCTCATGAACTGTTACCGGGATTAAATGTAAAGCAAATAATGCAATACCTGGCATTTTCTAGGTGCAAAATAAACAGTGACTCTTACATTAGTACTACCGAAAGCAAAGAGCTGACTGGCAATTTGGTTCATTAAGAAACTTTAAATTCTACCTAAAATAAAGCAACAGTGTAAAGAGTTAAAAGATTTCTATATAACCTCACTTCATGTTTTTGCTGCTGTTACTGGGATACTGGTATATTTCTCACTGATTTGTAAGTTTTCTTTACAAAGCGAAGACATGAGTCCACTATCTGTATGCACTGCCCTGTGTTTCCTAGTTTACCATTTTGTCTCTTTTTTTCCACATTAAGAATGGCTTCACTGATTTGTCTTGGAGTTATGTCATTTGACCTACCTTCAGAGATTTCATAAGAAACTACTCAATGAAACCTGTTGCTTTATTTACTGAAAGGATATTTAATGATTACGTAGGTTACATTAGTTTCTTCTTTACAACAGCCCACAAAAGAAATTTCTGATGTTAGTACTAGGAATAATTATGCTTCTTGTGAGTAGTGTGTTTATTTTTATGTTATGAACACAGTGAATCACGGAACTGATCATAACTTCTTTACATTGATTCTTAGGCAGGGTAAAAAGTCAACTATATAGCTCACTGCTAGCAAATGCAAGCACTTTAAAAGCACATACTTTTTGTACACTTAACTTCAGTCCTGGCTTTATCTTCCCTTTCCATTTATTAAAAATATTTAATCCAGTTATGAAAATTATGAGATACAAAACTGCGTATCTAGTTTGAAAATAATTGGAGGGTTCAAAAAAGTAGAAGAGAAAAGTAAAACATCCTACCAAACACTGTTAGCACATGAGGAAATAGAGGACACAGTCTGGCTTTTCAGGAGCTGACAAGCTAATGGGCAAGAAACAAGTAAACACAAAATGATCAACAAGTGTGGAAAGTGCTATCAGAGAGAAGTGTGCTATTTTTCTCTACTAGAAGGGGGTCTACTCAGACTGAAGGGGTGTTTTTAATGACTTCTGGGGGAACTGATGCAGAGTGCAGAGGGAAAAGCAATCTAACAGAGAGGCGAGGGTAGTCCAAGAGATGAAAAAGACCTTATAAGGAGTTCAAACTTGATCCTGAAGGAATTTTTTTATTTCTTACTTTTTTGAGTTGGTGGATTTCATTTATTGGTATCAAGATTTTCTTTCTGGTTCATTTTGTTTTCATTCCCCACTTCCCAGGCCCAACAATGGTAGAAAAACCCCACAGCATTGAGGAATTTGAAATGAGACTTAACTGACACAATCAATTGCATTTTAGAAAGAAATGTCTAGTAGTGGTGTTCAGAAGAGACTGATAAGGGATAAAAATAATCAGTAACTCTATGCGGTCAGACGTGATAAAGGCCTGAATGATTTAATACATTAAATAAATTAGCTTTCCGCTTTAGCCAGTTTGGTTCAGAGGTTAGAGCACTGGCCCTCAGACCAAAGGGTCGCAGGTTCGATTCTGGTCAAGGGCATGTATCTGGGTTGCAGGTTCAATCCCCAGCCCCAGTCGGGGTTGTGTGGGAGGTAACCAATGTTTCTCTCTCTTTCCCTCTCCCTCCCTCCCTTCCACTCTCTCTCTGAAAACCTTTGGAAAAAGATCCTTGAGTGAGGATTAACAAAAAAAAAGCTTTCCATTTCTATATTTTCTAATTATTGTTAATATGTAAGAATGCTATAAATTTTTGCCAAACTCATTAAATTTAACCTTTTGAATTCAGATTTCTGGAAGTATTTCATATCACCAAATAAATATAATTTATCTCTTTTCAAATATTTATACTTCATTTCTTATTGTATTGGTCAGAACAGTATTTAAAAAAAATAATTACCCAAACTGTATGATTTTAGGTTATAAATTGAAAAATGGTCCAAGGGAACAAAATAGAGATTTTGGAAATGATTTAAGCTGTTTAAGAACTTAATATTACAAACCAGAAGCAGCATAATGGGAGAGGATTTGTTGTTTAAGACACAATGTCAGGATAGCTGGATACCCACCTATCAGTATAGAGCAGTAAGAATTGCTTCCTACCTCACTACTGCAATCCCGTTCAGATGGGTGACATAGTTAAATATAAGAAAGAAAATAAAATAGCATATTTATTCCAGCTGTGAAAGGAAGATAAATTTCTGACTAATGTGAAATAAAGGATATTATCAGAGAAAAAGTGAATAGGTATGAATATATAAAAATAAAATAGTTTTGCCCAATAAAATGTAAAAAAGGAGTAGAAGAGGAAAAGATAACTGATATAAACTTACTAGCATATGTGTGTTTGCCTATGTGTGTATATGTGTGTGTGTGTGTAAATCTGTTACAAATATGAACTTTGGTCAACCATATTTCATTGAATAAATAAATGGTCAAAAGAAACAGATTATCAGTTTACATAAATAGATGATCAGTTTACATATAAAGGAAATAAAAATAGTAAATTATCATTTGGAATACTGGATAGCATCTCTCAGAAAATGAAAAAAATGTAAAAAACACCTTTAGGAAATAATTTACACATTTGTTAAACTAAGAAATTGACAAAAAAATTAGAACACAATGTAAAGAAACAAATACTTTTTAAAAAATATGTTTTTATTGATTTTTTAGACTGAGAAGAAGGGAGAGAGAGAAAGATTGATGTGAGGGAGATACATCGATTGACTGCCTTCTGCATGCCCCTCCTGGGGCTCAAGCCTGCAACCTGGGCATGTGTCCTGACTGGGAATTGAACCAGGATCTCTCAGTCATGGGATAATGCTTAATCCACTGAACCACCCCAGCCAGACAAGAAACAAATACTTATATACCTCTGGTAGTACTGTCAAATAGCCCAAGCTTTCTGGAAAGCCACAGAATAAATGCAACAGCAGCTACATATGCAAACGTGTATACATGTGCAGTCATGCACTCTGACCTCAGAAGTCCATTTGGAAGAACTACATCCCCAAAGGGAAAATAGTATTTTTAAAAAGATTTTTTTTTTTTTTTTTTTTTACTGACTTTTAGAGAAAGAGAAATGAAGGGAGGAAGGGAGAGAGAAAAACATCAACACTGATCAGCTGCCGCCCTGGCCGGTTTGGCTCAGCGGTTGGAGCGTCGGCCTACGGACCAGAGAGTCACGGGTTCGGTTCCCGCTAGGGGCACATACCCCAAAAAAACCCCATCAATCAGCTGTCTTCTGCACACTCCCTACCAGGGATTGAGCCCACAATCTGGGAATGTGCCCTGGTGGGAACTTGAACTAGCAACCTTTCAGTGCATGGGATGATGCCCAACCAACTAAGCCACATTGGCCAAGTTTTTATAAGGACATCCATAAGGGGACACAAATGACTAGAAGTACAAAGGAAGGAACTCAAACCAATGCTTTGCAAAACATGCATATGTGTATTTGAATTTAGAAGGATGGGTTACGGGTGAATGTTTTCCTGGGAGCTATACAGAAACTAACCTGATACTATTCAACTAATCGCACAGATGTTCTCTCCTTCCTTTAACATAAACAATATGATACAGTAGGCACCTTCATCCTCCAATAAATGTCATCAGAGGAACATACACTGTTTTACAACTTAGGTTTCTGGAAAGGAAAGCAACTGTTGAATCGTCTAATGGGCTTACCGTGAGTGTGGCAAGTGACATGAAGCCGATTAGGTTATTCCATACTTTATCGATGTCCTTAAGCAACTGCTGCAGTTTCTCACTGCACACTGCAGTGGCTTTTATCCCCAGCTCCACACGTTTGGTCACCCTGTACACTTCAACAACTCCTGACAGGGTGAGAGAGTAGAGAGTTAGGTGTTGAAAGTGTAGAGAAAAAAACAAGCAGACAAGGTAGCATTATTGCTTGTTGAGAACTACATCTGGACAGAGGTATAGAACTACATCCGGACAGAGGTGAATGTACTATTCCTTGGGACCAACCATCTCCAATGCTTCGGTATAACTGACTGGTAAGAACATAAACTCTAGAGCTACACTGTTTAGGTTCAAATCCCAGCTCTGTCACTTACTAGCTGTATAACCTTGGGCAAACTACTTAACTTCTGTGTGCCTCAATTTCCTCTTCTGTGAAACTGGGTTAATAATAGCACCTCCTCAAAGGATAATTGAGGGGATTAAATGAGTTAATACTATAAAAGGTTTTGAATGGTGTCCATAGAACAGTGGGCATTATGCAAGTATTAGCTATTTTTTTGCCTTACTTTTTTTAGGAGTCCATCTGTATGAATTTGGGAAATGCCATTAAACTTGCTGAAAATGGAAATATTAAAGGTTTAAAAGAATCTGAATATCAATATCATCAAAAAGTAATTAAAAGAAAATTAAAATAGTGTGTTAAAAGGTGATTAAAAGAAAAGAAAGAAATATCTCACTCCTATGAATGCCCAATGGTTTACACACTGTGGTTTCATGTATCTTTCATACACTTAACAGGACTCAGAACAGTTCTTTTCCTGTGGTCTCTGAATTGTGGCTGAACTCTTCAAGTAAGGCTGATAATTGCCAAGTATCTCTACATTCTAAGGACAGCCACCAGACACATCCCCAGCCTTTAACCCAGCCTCTATAGGATAGGACTGGAGAACTCCAGGGGGTCTTCAGAGTGGTACACTATCAGCCCTTTGACTTTTCCTCTTCCTTTCTCAGGGGAAGGGCAGGAATCATTGCCTACCTCAGCCAAGTGAGGGGGCTTCTAAGACAATCTTTCATAGACACTAGGAAACTACTAGAGAAAAAGACAGGCAGCCTGTTACCTGGTGAACGTCTGTTTATGCAGTAGAATTGTGCCCATCTGGGTGGGAAAAAGGAACTAGAGTGAGGTGGCAGGAGAAAAAGAGACTATATCCCTTCACTATCCACTCACCCAGCAAATATTCTTCAGTGACTATTATATACCAGGCACTAATCTACCTGTTGGAGACATAGCAGTGAGCATAACAGGCCAAAATCCCTCCCCTCTTGGAAGTTCATTCTAGTGGAGGGAGACAGATAATAAACAGAACAATAAGTAAACATATAAGATATTAAAAGGTGATGACATTAGTGAGAAAAACAAGCAGGGAAAGAGAGAGAAGTGCCAGGGTTGGGAGAGGGGACAGAGTTGAGTAAGGGGGGTCAGGGAAGACCTCACTTAGAAGGTGACATTTGAGTAAAGATCTGAAAATGATTACGGTCCAGTGCCTGCGGCTCTGACCACAGGCTAAGCCTAAGCTTGGGGTGGAAGGAACACTGAACTGGACAGAGATTGAGGCTTCAAGTTGGATGTGGCCAGGACGTTAAGGAAATTTGTGATGTTATTAAGGGGTATAGAGGAAGAATTGACAGAGCATGGTGAGGCACTGACTGGAGACCAAATGATTTCATTTTAATGCAGCATCTAGTTCACTCTCTTTGGTAAACCAGTAACATAGGTGTAATTTTACATTGTTGCTATTATATTATAACAAGGACTGGGAAACTTGGCCATAGAGACTTTAAGTCAAATAGTCAAAGAATACTTTCTGCCTATGACTTAAGTGTGTTATGGACAAATGCAGATGCTACTTAGTAAAATGTTATGAAACTTGAGAGACCCAGATTAAAATTTTAACATAAGGAAAAAAAATAAAAATATTTCAAAGTGTCATGATTTTGAATAAGTAAAATATAAAAGAACATACCTAATAAATACTCCATGCCTTGAGCTGACTGAATTACTTCTGTGCACACAGAGCTACTACTGATTCCATTTAAGGTATCATTTGCTTTCTTAATGACCTACAAGAAATGAAATCACATCACTTTAAATAATCAAGAGAAGTCACTGCAAATCAATTGAGTATTGGTAGAAAACCCAACGGAAAAGCCAGGAGGTGTGAAAAAGCCTGACTAACTGATGCATGTACATGACTATGCTGAAACAAATCTGAGAATTTAATTTTAACCTTGAAGAAACAACCCTCCATTCCTTTGGAAGTGGAAAGATAGAGGTTCTTTAGCTAAAATATTATTTTAATTCAGGCAGAGTTAATGATATCGCTTTGTTATTATTTTAAGCACAGTGACAGATGAGGGCACAATTGACAAATAAGCCAGTATCTGCTATTACAAATATGAAAGAAGCCTCATTTAAGATGTATGATTTTCCATAGAGCTTCACTTTGTATACTGAGGTAGGGCCCTCTTCAATTCTGCCTCTGTCCATTCCAGTGAACTAAGGAGAAGGCAAAATGACAGAGGACAGCACTTGCATACGGGTGACCACAAAAGTGACATACTCACATCGAGGGCACTCCCCAGGCATCTCTGCCATTCATATGCATATCTTTCACTTTCCTGGAATTTTATAAAAAGAACTGGGTTAGAAGGGCAAGTCTGGAATCCTCTATTTATAACTATCAATTCAGAGGGTAATGGAAGATTTTCCTTTTTATTAAAATTACTCTAGTTCAAGTACAGTTTATCTTAAGAACCCACTAATGACTATTTAAAAATACTAATAAATGTAACTTCTAAGCACATGCCTTGTGGATCTGAGGGAAATGTTTTATAGCAGCTCCTCTCTACAAATGTCACCTCATTTGTTCTAGTGACAGCATACACTTCTTTATAGGTACTCACCACACAGATGTCTACTACAAGAACCCATATCAAACCAGCGGCTTTCCTCAGTTACAATTCTGTGTGTGTTTGTGTACATACACATACATGCGTGTGTATGACAACAAGGGTGGGGGAAGAATGGTTAAGGGTTAGCTGTACGAGGAAGACAGCATAAGACTAAGATACAGCAAACATAAATAGAAGATTCATAACATTTTCCCTTTTTCCTCCATTTTTTATTTTATTATTATTATTTTTTGTTTAATCCTCACCCAAGGATATTTTTCCATTGCATTTTAGATAAAGATAGAATGGAAGGGAGAAAGGGGGAGAAAGAGAGAGAGAGAGAGAAACATCAATGTGAGAGACACACATCAAACGGTTGCTTCCTGCACAACCCCAACTGGGGCCAGGGACTGAACCTACTACAACCCAGGTACATGCCCTTGACTGAGAATTGAATCCAAGACCCTTAGGTGCATGGGCCGATGCTCTAACCACAGAGCCAAACCACCCAAGGCCATTTTTTATGTTTTAATATTCACTGAAATGATAGCCTAAGTGCTCAAAAAGAATTTCCTTAAACATGTCCTTCCTTGTGTAGTCCCATGAATAATTTCAGTTTTCAGGTCACTACTTACTTTCAGTGGATGCCGCATCTGGGATATATTTCCATCCAGGCTAATATCACCATTCTCTCTCTTTAACTACATATTTTGTCTGGTATCTTGTGACTCTGTCACATGTGAAAGCTGCAAGCATTTTTTTCTCGAGACCCTCTGTGCTCAGCTGGTCTTTTATCTGGCCCCTGTGGAAAACTACCCTGCTCACCTCCACCTCTCCTGTCAGATCTTTGTACTTGTCACGGATGACAGGCAGAGCGGGCTTCTCACTCAGAGTGTTGGAGCGGTCTCTGAAAGGCTGCTCCAAAGCCGGAGACGGAGAAGAACGGCTTATTTCTTTATCACCAAGGCTCAAACTCCTCTTGTGTGACCCTGGGAGAAGAGGATGGCAGAGTTAAAGGTTTTGATTACTCAGCTTAGGTCAAGCAGAGGCTCTTGCTAATGTGACCCTCTTCTGTTTATGTCATGAGGCATTCAGAAACACCATCCTCATTCATCTGTCTGGCAAGCTACATGTTGAATCCTTCCCATTGTTCTCTCTTGCTTGGTTTCCCTGACTTTAATGTTCTCCACTACCCTTCCCTGAATCATCATAATTCTTAGTGCAGAATCATTGCAGTCTGGAGGACTACAGTGTCTTTCTAAATATCAGAGTGTCAGAGTTGTGCTGCTTTTGCAGTTCTCAGTTATGGATTTGCACCAATCTCTTCCATGCTTCCCCAATCCAATAAAAACCAATGATCCCTTCTGTTAACATGGGCTTAGACCAGAAGGGACAAACTCAAATACTTTCAGAGAGCAGACAAGCAAAGTAAATGAATAAGTCAACTGAACATAGAAGTACCCAGGACTATGACTCTGGGGGGAGCACAGCCCATCGATTAGAGGTGGCCTAGTATTGCCAGATACTACTTTTTAAGAAAAGCTAGAAATCCAGATTGTGAAATCACATGATTTTTACTTATTGGTAACTGCTTCACACATTAAAAAACCTACTTCGTGGGTCAATAAAACAGGTCTGCAGACTGGATCCAGATCTACAGCCACAACACTGCAGCCTCTGGATGAAAACATACAGGATGGAGCCAGGGAACAAGAGCAGAGCTAACTTTCCCACAAGTGGATAAAATCAATTTATTTCTCTGGCACTTTGAACACAGCACACCTCTAAGTAAACGAGCTAAGGAAGAACAGACTGGGTGCCTAGCCCAAAAAGCAGTTACCTGAGGGATACTGGTTTGACTCCAGTTCAGTCTCAGGGAAACCTTTTTTATTTTAAATAGCCATCTGTAATAGACTGATTTCAAACACTGGAAAATCTATATCCTGCTAAACCAGGGGTCAACTTTTTATTCTAAGAAAGAACATCTAACACCTTAGTGGTAAAAGAGCATCTTCGCTTGCGAAGGGTGTGACTTAGTGGAAAAAACCATGACAGTAAAAAATCTATGTTGAAAGCTACTCACCTTGAACAGAAAGGTCAAAGGTTGCCAGCTCACTTTTGATCATTTCTTCACTGGATTTCATTTTGCTTTGTGAATTGGCCACTAAGAAGTCAAATTTGCTGATTTTGGGCTTTTCACTTTGAAACTCTCCAAAGTCATCGGAACATTCTTTGGGGGTGTCGTGAGAAGTGCTACTGGAAGCGGGGCTTGGACACGGGGCCTCTTGGCTCCGTTCAGCTGTAGGCAGGTCCTGTCTTGTGAAATCTGTATAGTCCCTGCTTTCATAGTCCTTTTGCTCACTGGTCTGAGGAATCACATCTTTAAAACTGGCAAAAGTGGGGAAGGTAGTCTCTGGAAGAGCATCTTCACTTGCGAAGGGTGTGGCTTTGGACAGAGATGTCATGGTGATGTTTTCAGAACTGCCAAATGAAGTCTCTTTTTTTTGAAAAACTGAGGCAGCTGAGGAGGATCTGCTTCCTGCTGAGAGGACAAATGGAGAGAATTTTCTGCCCTGAGATGCATCATCCCTGTCTGCCCAGTCAGAGCTCGTAAGTGTGCTCACTGCAAAATTGCTACTGCAGGTTCCAAAAGCAGCATATTTTAAGTCCTCTATATCTGAAAGGGAAATAAGACCCCACAATTAGAGGCAAGCTCACGATTTAGGCAAAATGCCCTAAACTCTGCAGAAGCAAAATGTCTAGCATATTTGATTCTCTTTATCCTATGTTGGAGTTAACTAAATTTAGAGCTTGTACTAAAATTAAAAGAGTTGAGCTGTAACATCTGATCTTTAAAAACCCACATTAGCCTTGACTTGTCATCTATATTTAGTTACAAAGAACATTTTTTTAATATAAGCCTTACTTAAAAAAGACAGGTTCATCTACCAATGTATATACTGTTTCATATGAGAATAAAGTCATTTAATAAACTGTTCACTTATAAACTTTAAAATGTATTTACAATAGTCCCTGCCTAAAACATCTTTTACCTTGACTTTGTTGGAAAATGTTCCTTTAAAACATGGTCATGTCAAATTTACATGACAAGCTAATTAAAAATTAACAATTTCTCAAAACTAAAATGAAAATAATGTTACTTAACTTTTAATCAATTATTAGGAGTTTCTGTGTCAAGCCAGGCCAAATATGAGAATTTAAAAAAAATATATGTTTTTATTGCTTTTTTAGAGAGAAAGGAAGGGAGAAAGATAGAAACATTGATTGGCTGCCTCCTGCCAATCGAGCCTGAAGCCTGGGCATGTGCCCTGACCAGGAATGGAACCGGAACCTCTCAGTTCTTGGGATGACACTCAATTCACTGAGCCACACTGGCTGGGCCCAAATATGAGATTTTAATTGAGCAGTTACTTACCTAGTTGTTATTTTGGTCAATATGGACATCACTATTGCTGTGATGGAGTATGAGGAAAGAAAAATCAATCTAATCTACGTTAGACCCTAAAAGACAGAGTCAAAGGTCTGGGTCCTGCTGAGCTCCTGTTTCTCCTTCAACTATGTGTCAAGCCCTCCATTAAAAAAAAAAAAAGAAGGAAAGGAAAAGAAGAAAGCAAAGAAAGAAATGCTAGGGCAAAAGACTCGTTTTACATTCTTAATATATGTTTAAATAATTTAAGAGGTAACATAAAACAGCAGAAAGAATGTAGGTTTCTTATTTAGGCAGACCTGGATTCAACTCCCAGCCCTACCACCTACTACTTGTGTGACACTAGGCAAGCTATTTAACATTTTTTAACCTTGGTTTATTATCTGTAAGATGAAAATATGATGTACTTAGAAGGGCTGTGTTGTGACAATTAACGATAATGTGTGTAAAGGATCCAGGGCCTGGTCAGCAATATATAATAGCAATATTTGTACAGTATAGTTGCCACCAGCCTCAGTTTGACATTTAGTTGCTACTTTAGGGCCTAAAATGAAATTATTTCAAAGTGAAAATAAAATATTAACTCATCATTTTAGTAGTCCATATTTGCCCATATTTGAAAATCAAAACCAACCAAGGCTCAATAACACTGTACAAGACAGCGTGTGGAGAGGCCACCTTTCAGCGGCACTGACCATTCAGTCTGGCTAACATGTGTTTTAGTTTCATTTTAGTCACTGTACACAAGGCAAGAAGGCCACATAAGGCCACATAAACACTCCCTCCCTGACAACCACATGGTTTATAATGAAAATGCTCAAAAGTTTTGTGACCCAGATTTTCATAATTAAGTCAACAGGTGAACCAACCCCAGTGCATTCTGTCTTTGTTTCACAGCAGTACTGCATAGGTAAGGGACTCCTGACAGTTCCACAGCCCTTCTAACCCCCACATGTGTGTACCCCACATCTCTCTCTCTCTTTAAACCCTATTAGGAAAAGGTACTACACTAATAATAAAAATTCAATACCCTAACCAGTGAAAAGCAGATAACTGTCAAGCAAAAAATTATATTTTAAAATTCTGCAATGCAAATAGTTCCCTTAAAATTTGGCTTATTAAACAGGAGGAAAAATGATTCAGGGAAGAAATATATACTTTCAAATGAATGAAAAAAGCTTTAGGCAAAAATGCTTTCTTAGTCTCTGGCTGCAGTGTTCTGTTTTCCCCACTACTTAAAGGGATCAGAAAGTACCCTGACTCAAGTGAGGTGAAATTCAATCAGGAGGCAGATGCAGTTAAACACAAGACTAGTCTTCCAGGAGTATATTCAGAAGAATGTTTCACAATACAGATATTTTTATTATTAGACCCTACCAGGAAGCTCTTTGGGGAAGCTATATTATGAACTGCTCCTAGAATCTCATCTATTAAAAGAGTAGCAATTTTTCTAAAGACCAAAAATAAATTTAATGAAAAGTTAAGCTCTAGTTCAAACATCACAACCAAGTTTCTAAGGCAATAAAAAGACTCTTTTGTGCAATTATGCAACAAGGTTTTGTTTTGTGTTTTTTTTTAAACAGAAATGACTGTAGTATAATCATGTAGAAGGCATTATAAGAAATAAGGGATTATATTAGCTGAAAAAGTATTTTTATAATACTACCAGTCTTTAACAAATCTTATATTTTATATTTTAAAAAATAATGAAGAATAAACATATAAGGTATACTAAAATCTAGCCTTGAGGTTGATTTTTAAATGTTACTTTGCTTATTTATTGGTTACTATAGTATAAAAACATAATTTACTAACGTGCAATTCATTTGAACATGTGCATAAGGAAGTACTAAAACTAATATTACATAGGAATGTGAGAACATTGTATTCTTAAACCTTAGCACTTATAAACAATATAAAAAACAGACTAGTATTTCCAGCATAGTGAATATTAGTAAGCCATTTTAGAGGAAAATGGGGAAAATCAGTTTACTGAGGGTAGATTAAACCAAGAAAATTCATTTCCCATGTTAAGGGTTCTACATTTTCTTAGCAGTCAAATTATATCTATTTGTATGGTGGTCTTAAAAATATTAAAGATTCTGGCCTGGCCAGTGTGGCTCAGTGGATTGAGCATCCTCCCAAGGACTGAGAGAGGTCCCAGTTCGATTTCTGGTCAGAGCACATGACTGAGTTGCCAGCTCGATCCCCAGTGGGAGGCGTGCACGAGGCAGGCGATCGATGTTTCTCTCTGACATCGATGTTTCTATCTCTCTCTCTAACAAAAATCAATGAAAACATATTAAAAAATAATTAAAGATTCTGTAAGACCTACAACGTAAGTGATGGAAGTTCTATCTGGAAAAATAATATGAAATAACCCACAGTTTATTTTGTAATCACTGAAGTTGCTACAGATGGGTTTTCAATTTGATAGCTGAATTCTGAAAATTGAAAGAGAAAAAGGAAAAAGAAAACCGAATGGATGCAATAAAATGAACAAAGAATCACTACTGTATTTCTAATTCCACTGGAGAAAGAGGCTGACCTCGGTTGATCTGCAACAGCACACAGATAATAGGTCAAATTGTGTGTTTTAATACACGTATTTGTTTGCAATCAAAAATGTCCTATTACAAAGGCCAAAGGAATAAACTATACAATCTGCTTTTCATCCTATATCTCAAATCATGGACAGATTTCTTGCTTATGCTAGTAAGTAACCCTATCAGCCTCTTCCATAACCGTCATTGAAATCCCTTCTGAATCAATGTTGTACATGAAAAAAAGGCATTTCCTGGAACAAAGAATGTGAGCTGCCACTAGAGGACACAGAGGCCATACCAATTCCCATGGACATTTTCTAAAGATGTAAGCATATGCCCAGGTGATTAAGAGCTACAAGCTTTTGAAAAAGGGGGTTGGAAAAGAAGAAAAGAGACACATGTGCAAATTCCACAGTTCCCTAGCATTGTATATAGCAATGAAAATATTCAATGGACTCAGGAAGAGTCTGAAAAAATTAAATATCTTTTCATTTCCAGTACTGACTTAATCCAAATTTCATTTACCAAACCATGAAATATTTATACATTTTAACTTCTTTCCACCCTGGCCCTATTCTACCCTCTAAGATCAGTTATATGCATATCCTCTATTAATTATAAAACCAGGTCTGACTGTGTCCTATAAATCTCAGACACCCTGATAGGTGGTGTTGAGGAAAACAGGAAAATGCTGCTGTTTGATTGCCTTCCAGTGTTTTCTAATCGGCGTAGAAACTTCCCACTCTTTTGTAATGACTCATGGGCCAGCACTTTTCAAAACAACTTATAAGTATACAATTGATGGAAAAACAAAGCTAGAAGAAGCTCTTTAAAAATTAAATAATTTAATTCTTTGAGTTATTTTAGGATTTAGCCCAGCTTCTTTGATATTGCCAATGTCTTCTACGTGTTCATTTGCTACTTTTAAAAATCAGCAGGGATTTTAATGTGAATAGAGTGACTGTAGAATAAAAAATACATTTGTACAATTTCTCAGGCACTGATGTATGAAGTCAAGCACTAACCATAGCTTACTTAACTTGGTATTGGGGAAACAAAACAGTATTTTTTGTTTGTTTGTTTAAACCTATAGCATACAATTCTTTAAGTCGTTATTGTAAGTTTACATTATTACAACTTCCTCCCTAAAAGTAAATGTTACTCGAGAAAGATTGTTCAATTTGTGCATGTGATTGTTTTACACACAGTTATATTCAGTTACTTTCTACGGCCTACTAAGATTAATGCAGAAAGGACTTAAAATAAAACAGTCTCAGATGGACCAAACTAGCATTAGATAATTCCATTGACAAAGGAATTTCTTAGCCAAAGCTACCACAAGACTGGTCTTAAACACAGTGCCAGAAAATCCTAAATAAAGGGCACCTGGTATTATCATTCTAAATGAAGACTAAACCAAAACCTCTTTTGTCCAAATTTGTTTGCAGTACACAAGGTTTTGAAACCAAGTATTATTCAACTTTCTAAAACATTATTCTCTGAGGAGGGGGTTAATGGGGAAAAAAGGGGGACATCTGTAATACTTTCAACAATAAAATAAAATAAAGCATTAAGCTCTGGAATACATATTTTAAGTGGCAGGCCCAGCTTTTCTTAGAGTTAAGCTAAACTTTAATATGTAACTTTTTTCTTTCTCAAATAGCATATTTCAGATAGTACATGTTATCTGTCAGGAATCCTATTAAAAATCCTCATCTTCAATGGTTTAATTTCCTTTCTGCCTCAAATTTCAAAAAAGAACAAAGAATTAAAGCCTAAAATTGTAAGAAAAAAATGTTCAACCATTGAAACAACCTATTTTTCCCAAGGGTTTTTTTTTTATTGGTCTTGGGTTTCTGATCTGAAAATAATAAAATTCCCAAGATTTTTTTTTGCTCTTATTATATACTCTAAAATTGAAAAAATAAAATAAAATAAAAACAAAGCCCTGGCCAGGGAGCTCAGTTGGTTGGAATGTCGTCCTGGTGTGCCAAGGTTGCAGGTTTGATCCCTGGTCGGGGCACCAAAAATAAATAAAATAAAATGGAAAAATAATATTTTCCACATTTGGCCTATTCTTGTTAACTTTTGTGGGTTTTTCAAGAATTCTTTTCTTAAAAATGAAAGTGTTTAAAGTCTACTTTGTCTGAGGCATCCTCTAAAGTCGTTTTAAGAACTTGCTTCATGGACTAAGTAAAAAACAACTAAAAACGGCTTCACAATACATTCTGAAGCTGGAAAGATAAGGTGCTCTACAATGATAGAGTACCCAATTTCAAACTCAAATCAAATTCAGTCCTGAAGACTTCTTGGTATTAACACTGAACACTTTCCATTACAGAGATTATCCATTTAAATTCAGTTTACATTTACTATGCTCAGAAGCCCATCTCAATACCATTTGATAATTTATTTTAAATTAAATTTACAGATAATGTGTCCCTCTTTCCCCAGCGCTCAACTCTTAGGTCTGCACCCTCATCTTCCCCCTCTCCTCACAATGGAACTCCTACTAGAGACAGGTTCTGTGATCTTTACTAAGAAATAAAATCCACTCAGTTTCTTCACTAAAAGAAAGGAGTAAATTTTCTAACATGTAAAATAGTGTTCTGTTTACACTTTGAAATATGTTTAAAGTTAAATTTTAATCCAGTGCCATGTTAAAAACTTTTATCAATGGAATTATAAGAGAAAAAGCTAAAATGCACCAATACCTTTCTTAGGAGAAAGGTGTTTGAAGAAACAAAACAAACAAAAATAGAAAACACTCTAAGCAAAGGAGATGCTATTGCTTTAAACTTGATATGGATCAGGAATTTCTTTGGTCTAACCCTGAAAAAGTACAAATTACACACATCCCCACACTTTCAAAATATGCCAAATAATTATTTATTAATATAGGACGTACAGATCACAAAAGAGAGTGGTACAGAAGAGCTGGAAAAGAAGTCATCAGAATAAGCATGCAGATCAGTATTTGCAGAGGAATATACCAAAGCAAGTTTGAAAAGGCACATTCACACAGATAATGTCTATGAAAAAAAGACATCAGAAAAGCAGCCCCCGACCCCAAAGGCGCTGATTAAAATACAAAGATTTTCAATGTCAAAGAAGAGCTACTTTACAGGTAGGTAGGTAGGTAGCTACAGAAGTCTTGCTAAACCTTTGAGTATCACAAATGAAGGTAAGTTCTTGCTGCCAACAAAACCAGATGATCTTAATGACTGCACATCAAGATGCTTCAGGCCAGAGAGATTAAATTTAGTGGAGGGGACAAAAGCAGCCTAGTTGAAATTATATGCAGCAAGGACTCAAAGGATTAAATGTAATAATATGCAGAGAAATCAGGCAATGTTATTATCATTATCTACCTTCCATACAAAGAATTATAGCAAGAGTTAAAAGAGACAGTATCCCCTTCAGAGTTAAGTTAGGGTTTCTAACCTAATGTAGCAGTCTACTATGTTTTATTCTCTCTTCATCAGCCCACTTCCAATTTCTCCAACAAGAAGTACCTTTAACCCTCAAACTAAGAGAGCAAGAGATACTGTGGTCAACATGAGAATAAAGGAAAACCAAATTCCTTGAAGAAGTCCCTGCCATTTACCCTCTACAATACATCTATGCAGCAGTTTTGCTCAACAACAATATAGTGCATTGGTCAGACATCAACCCCTTTTAACAACCGCTCTAAAGGGATACTGCTTCTTTCTGACAAGTTTACAGATCAAAAGGAGGAAACAATCTGCTTTTAAGAATATCCTCAAACTGAAGAGACTTGGTTTGAACATTACAGGTTCCAAGCTGGGAATGTTCCAAACATACATAAAAGAACATGAGCACAGGGTATTATTTTAACAGGTCAGTCAGAACAAACTCAGTCAAAAAAACCAGCCTCCCTTCCCCAAATAAAATGGATTAAAAAAAAAAAAAAAAAGACATCCCAAACCCAGATTAGGCTCATCTAAAAAAGACATCTAGCTTGGCACTGTGAAAGAATATAAATTCACTTTCAGAAAAATAGCTTCTAATCAATAATTTCAGAGTCCAGAAGGCTAGTTTACCTTTCATGAGCTTTTAAAATAAAAATCAAATATTGTTGTTCAGAAAATGGAGCACTTCAATCAACTGCTGTGGCTCAAGCAGTTCATACAAAAAAGAAACAAATTCACTATATCAAACAAACAGCAGCAAAAAAAATATATAGGAAACCATCTGAGGAAAAGTACAAAAAAATGGAAGTAGACGGGGTACAAGGAGCTCTGCAGACAACCCACTGCACTTAAAAAATACCTCAGCAAGTAGCAATGCGAAACACATAATGTCTCTGGTCACTTGCTCCTGCCTTAGCACTCTGTTTAAGGATACCTCCAACATTTCAGTAGCCAAAGAACAGAGGCAATTTTGTTTTCTCACTACAAAAGTCATAATACTTTACAATTTCTGCCTGAATCTGTAAACTTGGAAGTGTTATCTGTCCCTCTCTAGTTAAAAAACAACAATGAACCCTTCATATACTTAATACATTTTCTAGAATAATACAGTAATACTGAGATATTTTTCATTATTAAAGGCCACAAAATAGGTTTATCTTTCTCTCTATATATATCAAATAACAAAACAAAATAAAAACTAGGACACTTGGGAATCTAGTTTTTATGACAAGAAATTAAACTAGAGAATAAACTGCTACATGAAACTCCATACAGAATTTTAAGAGGGCTTCCTTATAAGATATTCTCAAACATTTTATGAAAAAGTGAGTAGTTACCTTATTCTACCATCTACAGATCTGTTACAATTTAATACTTCCAATAATAGAGTTAACACTGAAAACTGTACCTGAATTCCACTACTCATGCCCTCCCCTTTGCCAGACGCTGGCACACAGGATATCCATACACATGCACTTTCCCTCTTCTTCTCTTGTAGGGATGTGGCAAACTGCAGTACAACTGGCTACACATTCTTACTTTATTGACCTAACAAGAGTCAGTTTCTGTAAACCAAACAGAATACTATATTGGCAGCTGTCAATATTGTATATAAACCCAAGAGAAGAAAAAAGGAGAGGGAAACACTGATCTCACTCTCAGAAATGACACTGCAAAAATCTTTATAAAAATTTCTGGCAATGTGGGGTTCATTTAGCAATGGGTTTTTATGTGCCTCTAACACCAAGTTGGTGTAAGATTTCAAAAATAAAAATATTTTATCTATCCAATCTAAGTTCCACAGTATTCGTGGTATCCATATACCCAAGTATCTGTAGACTCAAATTTAGCACTGCTTTAAGGGGACTGGTAACTAAGAGGTTAATTATTATAAATTAATAAAGGTTAAGAGCCAAAGCCTTACTATCTATAAATCAACACCCATCTTTGAAATCTATGTCACCATCACCACAGCAATCTCACCAATTCCTCACCTGCAGCAGGAGGATGCTGGCCACTAACTGTTGGTAAATCCAAAGAGCTATCAGACATGACATGCTTAAGATCTCCTCCCATATCAGCCAGTTTCATGTCAAACTGAACAGAGAGTGCATCTTCAGAGTCCTCCTTGCCAACACTGCTGCCACCAATGGAAGGGAGATCCAAGGACTTCACCGAGGCAGAGTCTTCTTTAGTGTGTCTGAAAGCCACTGCTTTCTCTCCCAGGGTTTTGTCCGAGTTTATGGAAGAAAATTTACTGGAGTGGAAGTCAGCAAAATCATCATCGCTTTTTCCTGAAGGAGTGTTCTCTTTCAGTTCTTCAGCACCTAGTCCAGATCCTTCCAGAGAAAGCTGTTTGAAGACATCGTATTTGGTAGACACAGCAGCTGAGTTCTGTCCACTCTTCACGGTATTGCTCGAGCTGCTAGTTAGAGGAACAGGACTAGTTTCCTCTTTGAGGGCATCATATTTGTCATCTGCCTTTTGCTCAGATGAAATAGAGCTATTACTGAAAGCCATAAAATCTGCAAAGTCATCCTGCTCCCCAACAGATGCTGGACTAGAATATTCCCCAAAAAGGTTGAATTCTCCAAAATCATCAGCCAAACTAGAAGATTTATTTAATGCCAATGCTGCTGTGGCTGCAGCAGATCCTGCCTGTGGTCGTGTAGAAACAGATTTTGATGCACTAAATGCAGCTGAAAAAGACAATGGTTTCTCACTGCTGCAAGTAACTGAGGAAAACATATCTAAATCTGCTAAGTTCAGAGGATTTTTCACTTGTGTTTGTTGTTTTTGTTGTACAGGTCCTGAGGGGAAGGCTGCTGGAAAAGTTTTGTCTTTTGTTGGTGGCTCTAATGGTGATACACTACCGGCAGTTTTAAAATCGGTGAAACCATCATCAGTCCCTGCAGATCTGAATTCTGCAAAATTTTCTCCTGAAAGAAAAAAACACAACCAAATATGTAAGAGCTGGAAACAACATGATGCGCAGCATATTAAATGACAAGCATACTTTTGTAAACTTTTCCCTGGCTGGCTTGACATAATTAACTACAGTTTAAACTCTATGAAATACCCCTTTAGGAACTACATATTTGTTTCCACATTGAAGGCTAGTGACAGAAAAATCAAAATCATACTGAAAGCACCTAACAGTATCATTTTCATTTGTTCCCCTTAGTATGAGAAGTCTCCTGGAGTCAGATCCTTCAGTTGGCCAAAAGCACTGCTTGCAGGACTTTTTCTCATGATGGCTGGCCAGCCAAGCACACAACAGAATAAAAAGCCAGTGCTGAAGAGAGTCATATGAAACAGTGGCCCTTTAAAGATAGAATGTGTTACATGGTGATCAATCAGAAAAAATATATCCCAGGTACCAATGAAATATTATGAAAACCCCTGCATCTAATACTTAGGATGCACAACACTTTGTTTAACTTGGCATGTTAAGCATATCGTTAGATACTAGGTGGTCTTGCTGAAATATATGGAGGCATTAATTTAAAGGCAACTTTAATAAAAATTTTTGAAAAAGTACCTATTTATTTACAAAGCATTCTGGCCCAGGGCACACTGTAAAGCAGCTTCCCCCTATACTCTCTAACATAGAAGATTAATTTAAAAAAAAAAAGTCTTGGGTTTTTCTTGAAATCAGCCATCTCACTGAACACTTATTTATTAAAATTCAAAGGGATTTGAATACACACCAACTCTATTATTAAAACTTTCAAAGGGTATAATTTAAACTTTGGCTTATACTGCGCTACTGTGAGGATGAGGTTCTGACAGAATTTTTTATTTATTTGTTAATAAAAATAGGTAATAGAGAAAGTAGGTAATAATGTATTTCTCATAAATATTTAAATAGATAGTTAAGATACGGATAAAAATCTGGATCCATACTTTTTATTAGGTTTTCAATTCTTTATTCCCATAGTAATGTTATCACTCATAGGTATGAGGTTGGGATGCAAATGATCTTAGTTTTCTAATGATGTCTGAGGTCTTCCACAAAATCCACTAGGTAATACCAGGTAATGAAAACCAGAGATAAGCCAAATATAAATATAGCTATACCAGCATCACCTGTTTAAAAATATAAGTGCCAAATAAATAAATAAAATAAAAATATAAGTGTCATTTCTGAAGAGTTATAAATTAAAATACAAGTTTTAATTTCCTCATCCACTTTTTAAATTCTATTTTCCCTAAAAATGAAATATAGAAGCATATGAATTATAAAAATATATTTAAAACTAAAATCCAATTCTTAAAATTGTCATTAATACAATATTGGCTTTAAATATACTGTGCATATAAAGTGATATATATGTTGATAGATCATATTAAAAAAGCATGGAAAATAATGGAAGCGAATTTTTCCTTCTGAGATACTTAGCCAATTCACCAGCATAATTCATTAACACAGAAAAATCTATTTATTATTATTAGGGAAGCTTTAGAAAGAGAAGAAAAGCATTCAAAATTCCCCTATTTTATGCTTGTAATATGTACCACCAATAAAACTATAGTCAATTTCACAAACTGACAGGAGAAGCAGATATAAAACAAAAAATCACCCTAGTACTTTAGGCAAGTATATTTCTGATAATATTTGTATTATTTCTGTAAATGAAAGGTAATAAGCAGCCAATTTTTGTCACAGCCAAAATTTTTGATGTGTTGCTTTGAAATATCTGTGAAATTGACAAGTTTTGCTTTGTTATTTTTAAAAAGAAATCACCACAGCAAACTAAACTTACTGATGAACTGTAAACTTTTCCATTAGAAATGTAAGCTGGGTGAAAGGGTTAAAAAGAAATAAAACTGGGTAGGATTACAAGTTCAAAAACAAGGAATTTGGAGGCAAATTAGTCTTTTGAAGTTTGCATATCAGAAAGTTCATTAAGCATATTACTTCATGGGTAGCTTTTCAATTAACTTCTGAATCCTCTTAAGTTTCCCTCTCTAGTTGTTACTTTTTAGGCCCTAAAAACATTTCAAAAGAGATCACTTTTTGTTAAAACTTCAGTGTCACTTATCTATATAAGACATATTCCTCATCAACTTTAATTATGGTTTAAACTGTAGGGTAGAACAAAGGAAATGTTATCAAACTCTGTCACTTAGTAATCCTAACAAACCCATAGCTCTGAACATAATACCATAAGCTTCTTCAGAAATTCTAAGATACTGACATACTTTGTCAGGCCAGTGTATTTTTTATTTTTTTAATCCTATCTGAGGACTTTTTTTTTTTTTTTTTTTCATTTATCTTCAGATAGAGCGGGAGGGAGAGAAGGAGGAAGAGAGAGAGAGACACATTGAGTGGATGCCCCAACCAGGGCCAGGGACAAACTGCAAGCAAGGAATGTGCCCTTAGCGGGAACTGAACCTGGGACTCTCTGGTCCGCAGGCCGATGCTTTAACCGCTGAGCCAAACCGGCCAGGGCTAATGCAAGTAGAATAAAATATGTCCTCCAAAAATGAACAAAATTGGCATTTCTGCTTGGAAGGCCCTAGAGTTCAAGCTAAGATAGGAATGAAAGCAAGCACACAAAAATGGCAACAACAATCCGGGATTCTGTTAATAAAGTACTATAAAAGCAGGACTAAGGTGCTGCTTACATTTTGGTGCCACCATTGTCCTTCCCAGGAATAACATACATATCATATGATCACTAAGACCACACTACACAAAGAACCCTGGTATTAAACCATGCTCCTTACTCCAAACTTGCCGTGGCCCAGGAATTGATGAAAACACTGCTAGGAGTAAATGACAAATTAACGAGCCAAAAGTTCCTCTAGGGTTTATCTTTGTATTCCTAGTACCTAATACAGGTAAGGAGGAAGAAATAGTTACTACATCCTAAAGGCGTGAATGAAACACAAGGAAACAGTTCTAGCATGTAATAAACTGAGCATTTTTAGAATAGATGTTTCCCTTTTTAGATATTTAAGCAGTATACTGTCTACTTTAACTTTCACATTTACTTATCTTTCCTATATTCTCCTCCCACACCCGACTCTCATCCCCATCTCCTAGGGCTAGGCAGAAGGGTGAGAACAAATGATTGTTGAAAGATATTCCAAATTTGAGCATTCAGTACACAAAAGTAGAAAGTGGTACTGTCCCCAGGAAGAAATCCTCAGTAGAGTACACAAAATTCATAGCATACACAGTTAAGCATTGAAGGACATAACTTGGCATATGGATATTATTAAAGCCTACACATCAGATTTATAGAATTTAACCACAAACATAACTTTTACCCTTTACATATATGGTTCTCACATTATCATTCTACATTTTTTTTATCCTCACCTGAGATTATGTTCATTGATTTTAGAGAGAGAAGAAGAGGGAGGGAGTGGGGGGGGGGGGGGACAAGAGTGAGCAAAAGAGAAATACTGATGCGAGAGAAAAACATCAATCAGTTGCCTGTCTTAAGTGTTCTAACTGGGGATCAAACCCACAACCTGCAGCTATGTGCCCTGACCAGGAATCAACCCTGCAACCTTTGGTGTATGGGACGATGTTCCAACCAACTGAGCCACCCTGTCAGGGCATATCATTCTATATTCCTTTCTACTCTATTTAAGCCCTTCTGTCAGACACAGAAACTACATATGCACAGTAAACCCTTTCACTTTATCCTATTAAATTTTAACCAATTTTAAAAAGTAAAAGACTGGTTGCTGCCTTTTGTACAATCCACAGATTGCTGCACTGCCAACAGTTTAAGTCTTGTGGAACATTAAAATAACCGAAAGTAGTCACAGCCCTCCATTTGATACAGAGTCTAATGTGGTTTGAAGGCTTCTGGAGAAAGGGAATACATTATCTTTAGAGGAAATTGCATCGATTTGGGGTTTGCCCTAAATTTTAGAAAATAATTTCCAATAACTAAACCACATTTTGCTTCCTTGTAATTTTGACACAGAAAAAAGAAGAAAATCCACACACAATAACATAAAGGCACATTCAGGAATGTCACTGAAAGAATCTTCAAAGATCTCTTTTATCAGAAGTTGAAACAATTTATTCATTTAAGGAATCAAAAACTTACCTGAAGATTTACTCTCTGTTGTCTGTTCAAGTTCTCTGAAAGCACTGTATTTATCACCAGGCTCTATGATGAAAAGATAGAAGCTCAAGTAAGGTTAGGAAAGTTGAGATCACAACTCAAGAATGTAAGACAGACTGGGTTAGCCAAACATACTTAACATGTGGTACAAGCATTTTATACATTTACCAAAAAAGGCCACCAACTAAAAACAAAGATTTACATTCACAGGTTCATGAATTCACGAACTACTTTTACCTCCAAAAGGAACAGTATTTTCAGAGGTCTTGTCAGCTGCAATTCCTTTAAACACAGCATATTTATCCATTGAGGCTGATGCTTTAGTTCCAGAAAGTGGCATCAACAAAGGGGCACTGAATGGGGAAAAAAAATACTTCTTAATGACTAGAACACTGAATCCTTCCCTTATCAAGCAGGAGCTTAGAATTAAAATGGCAAATAGATACCTAGCTAAAACGCATGCTCCCTGTTTTAAAAGATAGAAAATAATATATATATATATATATATATATATATGCAACAAATGACTAAAAACAAGATACTTTTTCTTGAAAAAAAAAAATTGAAACAACACCCAACCAATAGTTCTTCTCTTGATTGCTGTTGGATCCACACTGACCATCTCATCATCTCTTTGAGCCATAAAAACAACCAGAATGGCATTGGAAATAGATTATCATAGAATGATGACCCACTGCAGTTTTAACTTTAGGCCCATAAAAATGAACTGCTCCAAATAGGTACAGCAATTATTTTAAGGTAAATTATGTGAACCTTAATATAAATTAGTCCTAAAATGGGGTCAGAATGCAGAGGTGGAATAAATAGTTCAGATAAAAGTCTATATATGAAATGTTGTTCAAACCAAAATGCAAATTGTTCCTCTTCTGATCATATTGCGTTGCTTACTGGCAGAAGTTTACACATCTGATAGCAGCAGTAGAGTTAATACAATTTGCATTTTCGCAAGGATCCCATCAGTGCTCCAGAAGCTATCTTTGTAGCAAAGCAACAATCACTTCAAAATTAGATAAAGATACTTTTGCCTGTGGACATATTTCTCCCTGGATAGAAAAATAGTGTAATGAGTAGTATCTGTGTGGGCAATTCTTGGACCGGCTTAACATATGCCAGAAAATCACTGCCTCCTTCCCTCCCCCCCCTTTATCTAACACAGGCAGCTCCCAGGAAGAACCACCTTTACATATGAATGATTATATTCCACCACTGGTTTGTGTCACTCAATACCACATACTGCAAGTAATATAAATGGATTTCTATTGAGTTCTTTGCTCTGGAGCAAAAATCTTTCCATAGTCATTTAAATCTTCTTATCAGTGGCCTCCAAGCAAGGTAAAAAACCCAGCTCTTGCACACACATATTAATGGAAACCCACAGTGCTTTAGGGCTTAGTGCTATCAAATATTATAATTTCACATCACTACCACACAGCTGTTACATATTTGATCTTGACAAATAGGTCATCACCTATTGTTATAGGTGAATTTTTTAAAGTTCCATAAGTAAATGAAATACAACTCATTGAACAGAATGTTACCCAGGAATAAAGGTAATTAATGCTTTAGGAAAAGAAAAACACAAAGTTGAATGATCTATTTGTTTTTCATGACCTGCAACTTTAGCTATGGTCTTTTAAAGTCTATTGGTCAACTCTCTAAGTGTGACAGTTAATTGGATATTAGTTTAAAAATTATTTTCAGAATTGGAGAAAAAAATAGAGGATCTTCAGGATAATGAAGCAATGCTGACTAAACTCAACAAAATAAAATTCCATTTATGCTTTACAATCCCATAGGGCTGTGGTAGACAGTTTTACTCAGTTGTCCACCCTGCTAAATACACCCGTTTAAAAAGCAAAATAAAACTAAGCAACTCAAAATCCCTACACCTTAATCTTATTCTATCATCAGTGCCCTATGTCTGTCTTGGTTATTATATTAGGTTCCCCAGTGCCTGACACACACTAAGCTTTTTCTGAATGGATAAATGAATGATGTTGCTGTCTTCCAAATCCCCCTACACGCTGGCTCAAGAGCTACTTCTCCTTTGACTTTGACATCCAGTTCAACACCGAGTCCAACCAATTTCTCAGATACACACTTTTCAGTATCTGTAACTCTAAACCCAGGGTACCTCTCATCATCTCACAACAGGATTATCATGGCAGCTGAATTTATCCCATATACAGCAGCAAAAATCACTTTCATCATGGCACTTCTCAGTTCTAAAATGCTTTACAGATTATGTCACAAATCATAAGACATCCCACAGTTGGTGCTAGCCTTAACTAATGTCATTTTCCCCCAGACTAACAATACTCTCCACTACAGCATATTTCTAACTTTCCTTTCTTTCCTTTGTTATCTGTCATATAATGCCCATTTTCTGCTTAAAAATACCATCTAAAGTGGTGTCACCTAGGCTTAGCTATTCATATTGTGATTTAACAAATATTCTTTTAAAATAAACTCACAATATGGAATACAGAGTATCATAAACTAGGGAGTTCATTGTAAAAACATACATATACACATTTAAGGACTAATTCTTTTTATTTATTTATTTTCCTTTAACATGCTTTTATTTTATTTTTTAAAAATTTTACTTTATTTTTAATTTTATTTTTGTTACAGATGTTTCTCCTTTTTTACCCCATTGACACCCTCCTCCCCATCCCCCCCACCCCGTCCCTGGCTTTGTTGTCCATGTCAATTGGTTATGCATATATGCATATAAGTTCTGTGGTTTATCTCTTCTCTCCCCCACCACCCCCTTTTCTGAGGGTTGTCAGTCTGTACCCTACTTCCATGTTTCTGGGTCTACCCTATTCCTCAGACTGTTATCTTCATTATATTCCATAAATAAGTGAGATCATGTGGTATTTGTCTTTTTCTGCTTGGCTTGTTTCACTTAAAATAATACTTTCCAGGTCCCTCCATGTCGTCTCAAAGGATAAGAGATCTTTCTTTCTTACAGCTGCATAGTACTCCATTGTGTATATGTACCACAGATTTTTTTATCCATCCGTCTACTGATGGACACTTGGGCTGTTTCCAGATCTTAGCTATTATAAATAGTGCTGCTATGAACATGGGGGTACATCTATTGTTTCTGATTGGTGTTTCAGGCTTCTTAGGGTATATTCCTAAAAGTGGGATCACTGGGTCAAATGGAAGTTCAATTTTTAATTTTTTGAGGGAACACCATATTGTTTTCCATAGCGGCTGCACCAGTCTGCATTCCCACCAGCAGTGTATTAGAGACTCCTTTTCTCCACACCCTCGCCAACACTTGTTGTTTGATGATTTGTTGCTGGTGGTTAAGGACTAATTCTAAGAGAGTTTTATCAGATAATATACCCAGATAAAACTAAGCTTCTTGAGAGCAGGAACTGTGTTTTTTGCTTCCGTATCTCTAGTGTTTACCCCAATGTCTGGCATATAGCAGATGCTAATTAATGTTTCTGAATGAATAGGTAAACAATGATTGTGGATTCTTAGACATGAGCAAAATGTTTCTTAGACATGCAAGAAAAGTCAAATCAGAACTGAATAAAAAAAATCTGCAAATAATGGCTGTGTATGAAAGTAAATTATGACATGGAGATAATGCTTCATAAAACTGCTAATTCCCCACATATTTCAGGTCTGGCCACCATCTTAAAACTTTCTATACACCAATTTTAATTTTATCTACTTAGAGAGTTAATTTTCCAGAGGAATGAACCACCAATTTGATAACTTCAGTTTATGGCTCTCATACTACAACATAATCATCCAACAAATGTATTAATTCCATATCATGGGCTAAGTACTACATATACAGACATGAAAGATTGTCTTTAGGTACTTACAGCCTAGTGAGGGAAATAGTCAGGTAGCCCAGTAATTATAAACAGGGCAAGATATTCATAAGGTACCTTGACAGGAGAGAGGGAGGGGCCCTTAACTCATCTTGGAGGCAGGGACTGATCCAAAGTGGTTAGTAAAAACTTCCTACATTAGCCCTGGCCGGTTTGGCTCAGCGGTTAAAAGCGTCGGCTTGCGGTCCTGAGACACCCAGGTTCGGTTCCTGCTAGGGGCACGTACCTCAGTTGCAGTTTGTCCCCGGCTCTGGTCAGTCATGCGGGTGGCAGCCACTCGATGTGTTCCTTTCATGTCGATGTTTCTCTCTCTCTCTCTGTTCCTCTCTCTCCCTCCCACTCTACCTGAACAAAAAATGGAAAAATGTCCTCAGGTGAGGATTAAAAAAAAACCAAAAAAACTTCCTACATTAAACTGATTTTTGAAATGGAACTAGAATTACCCATAGAAAGAATTTCAATAGAAGGACATGGAATGTTAAAAGGCCAGAAGCTGGAAAGAGCATGGTGAGTCTGAAGTCATGTTGGCATGGCTGAAATACGAGCTGTTGGGAAATGGCAAGAGTTGAGAGAGTAGGCAGGAGCAAGATCACACATATAATTTTTAAAAAATATATATATTTTATATATATTTTTTTTTTAAGAGAGAGAGGAAGGGAGAGAGATAGAAACATTGATGTGAGAGAGAAATATTGATTGGCTGGCTGCCTTCTGCATGCCCACTACTAGGGATCAAGCCAGCAGCCCGGGTTGGTTCCCTGACCGGAAATCGAACTGAGACCTGTCAGTCCACAGGATGATGCTCAATCCACTGAGCCATACCAGCTGGACCACACATGGCATTTTTTTCCATGCCAAGCAGAGCTGACAGAGTTGATGGTGGTAAAGGAGAGAGGAGGAAGCCAAAAATAAATAACATGTTTCTGATCTGTTGACTGGATACCAATGACATGGTTCACCAAAGAAGAAAATGATGAATTAGCACATTTTTATTTAGCTTTAAGTAGGAAAACAACGACTTTACGCAGGTGATTTAAGATGCCTTGCCTCATTCAGATATGTTCTAGACAGCAGTAGAACATTTTGTTCAAAGAAAAAGATATGAGAAAGAAATATTATTCTGTATCTATCAGGTTAATAATACATATGCTGGTATAGTGGGCCTGGAAATCCCAGTACTTTAAAGTCACATCCTTTTTGTGTTTTTTCTATGTGGCATTTATATGTATTTGATATGTTCTTAAAATCAGAGTAATTCTTTCTCTAATTTGTAATTCTCTATAATGCCTATCTTTCAGTTCTTGTTACAGTGTATATGCAAGAAGTGTTAACTGATAAACAATCAATTAGTTAAAATGGAAAAGATGAGTGGAATTGTACAAATAGAAACAGAAAACAAATGGAACATGTATTCTGAAAAAAACCAGGTTTCTGTTCCAAAAAATAACCTGAAGAAATTCATACTGCTTAATCAAATTCTAGTATGTTCCACTCTGTGGAAGAAGTATCTAAATACTTTTTCAAAATGTTGGAATGGTGTTGAGAACATACTGAATCAGTTACTGTACCTACGAGTTAAGCTAGTATATAAAACATCAGAGATATGACTGTGCAGCTGTCGATATGTAAAGAAAAATACGAAGGCCTAAAAGCCACTGATCTTAACTTAAGTACAAGAGAGACATGAATAATCATATAGTGTTCTGAATTATGATTTCTGAAGAAAATCAATAGAACACTTATTGAAAAAAATATCAAATTGTGTGTTCCAGACTAAAAAACTTTTCAACAGTTAAAGATTTGGGACTAATACAAGAATATGAAGTCATCACTGCATAAACACACTCAGCTATAATAAATCAGGTTAAGCACACTCAGCTATAATAAATCAGGTTAAGCACAAGTCAAATATTGGCAAGCAGGTATACACCAGGAGAAAATGGTAGGAGTTGAAGTTTAATGTGGACAAAAGTTTGAAGAGCAAAACTATGAATAAAGAGGGATTAATCAGGAAAATCATGAGAGTAAAGTTCTTAATTCTCTTACTTACACTTAGGCTTCCCATCGTGGATGTCTCTTTCTCAATTATTAAGTACAATGTTAACTATAGTTAACTCTTTTGTACCTGTTTCCATGCTGGGAATTATTTGTTTTTGAAGACGCAGGCAACTCTTGGAAATCACTGAATGAGTCATCAAGGGATCCTGACTTGGAAGCATCTTGAAAATCTTGGAAGTCGTCTTCTTCTGGTTTTACCACCTAGGTTTAAGAGGACATTTAAATAGAAAGCATAAAATTAATAAAACAGTAAAGAACAAATTTCCAAATGACTATCTTTTAAATCTCTGCATTTAGGTACAACTACCTAATTTTAGAAGAACATCCTTTAGATAAAACATCAACTCCAGTGCTTAATTAAGGCAGGAATCGTGTCTTACATCTTTAGATACTCTCATGTACAAATGGTAAAAGACTGATTTAAAGGGCTAAACCATACAATTTTATTTATTTATTTATTTATTTTTTGTTAATCCTCACTCAAGGATATTTTTTCCATTGATTTTGAGAGAGAGTGGCAGAGAGGAAGGGGGAGAAGGAGGGAGGGAGAGAGGGGAGAGAGGAAGAGAGAGAGAGAGAGAGAGAGGGAGAGAGGGAGAGAGAGAGAGAGGGAGGGAGGGGGAGAGAGTGGGGGGGGGAGAGAGACACATCGACGTGTCTCACATTGATTGGTTGCTTCCCGCATGTGCCCTGACCTGGAATAGGAATCGAACCCATAACCTTTAAACACTGAGCCACACTGACCAGGGCTAAACTATACAATTTTAAAATAGCTAAATCATTTGACAGATTACTGAGAACCTGTCATATTTAAAAAAACATTCTATACATTTGTAAATTTAACAAGTGATATAAGCTTGTTATAATCCATTACTGTATAAAGTTAACAGTGAACCTGAGTCCTAATCCCATGCTCTAGAAGTGAGAACTGTTAACAGCTCATTTGTTTTATAAAAAATGAGCTTATACTGTTCTGCATTAAAAAAAAAAGTAATTATATGACATGGATATCTTTTCAATGCAGTATATATAGATCTATCTCATTCATTTTAACTATAAACTGTATGGATAAACCAAAATTTATATAACCTTTCTTTTCCTGATGGAAATTTAGCTATTTCTAATATTTTACTCCAACAAACAATGCTACAACAAATATCCTTTGGTATCTGTGCTAATTCAAATTACTATTTCTGTGGCATAGATTCCTAAGAATGTGACTGCTAGGTCAGAAGATACAGACATTTAGAATTTCACTAGCTACAGTATTAACAAACCTCCATTCCAAAAAGGCTGTACCAATAAACCCTTTTCCCTATGTTTTCATTGATACTAAATATTATGTTTTTAAAAATTTTGCTAATCTAAGAAAATAAACTGAAGCATTTTAATTTCAGGTTTAACAGCTTCCTTAAAAGATACAGCCTACGAATTTAATTAACTTTATTAGCCTTGATGTTTAAAATATATATACTATAAAGAACTATAAACTGTTAGCCAAAATTCAAGTATCTTAAGGCTTAACAAATTGCTTCATGTTTTTAAATTTTGTATTGTTTGAATACTGTTTAATTTTCCCCTCCAGAGTCAATAATAATCCCACAATCCTCTCTGCATCTCTGGAAAAAAATTTGCCCAGATTCCTTTCAGGGATTATTTGGAATATGCAGTTTCTACATTTACCTGATTTGCAGAGTAAGTTGGCATGAAGCCACTGGAAGCCTGGGCTGCAGCTCCCCCTACTGGTCCAACAAGGTTAATGCCCATGACTGGCTGTCCAAGGTTGAGGGGCATGGAGCCTGCATGGCCTGAAGGCATTCCAGTTGGTTGACTCACTGCAGTAGGCAAAGTCATAGGAAAGCCACTTAAAGTTGGAACAGGAGCCGCTGGGAACTGGTTTAAAGCATCAGGACTCATGGCAGGAACACCCCTCTACAAAGGAGGAAAATGGAAACATTTTAGTGGGCTGTAAACCACATACAATCTAAATCTGGCAAAGACAGCCCAAAATGTAAAATCTGTAGCTTTGGAATAATTCTACTCTTAACTCTCCCAAAACTCATGAATTTGGTACAAGAAAATGAGTTACAAGGTTAATGCAAACTTAATATTTAGCAAAGAAATGGCCAACACATATCAATTCTGACATTTTCACTCTCTGACAAGTTTGGTTAATTTACTATAATCAAACAAATCATGATTACATATATTACAAATGGTTTTGTAATAAGAGAGAAATTACTATCAGATGGAGAATACTTTATCTATATATAAGGAATTTTAAATAAAGACTTGAAAGGACAGAGAGTAACTTCATCTATTACTAACTTTCAAGTTCAGAAGGGATATAGTCACGCCAGAGGATGTTAGTATATTAAACAGTTTTTAAACAAAGGAATATTTTGCTAGTATGCACTTCATATAAACTATATATTTTTGAAGTACTGTATCTTGAAAATAGTAAAAACTCGAATGTATAAGGAATTCTATGAGGTTGTAGTCACAAAGGATTCATATTCTTCCAACTCATATTGAAAAGTTATTTGCTCTAATTTAACAAATAATGTGTACCTGTGTTACTGCTATCATGGCAAGAACAGTATAAAGTTCTTCTTTAGTAAGTTTGCCTGGTGTAGTTCGATTAGCTAAGGCCCATATCTGTCCAAGAGTTTCCCTGGGAAGTCCAGATGACATCAGAATGGGATAAAGTTTTACAGTATCTATTCCAGTTGGAGTCATTGTGGTTTCTAAGATTTTCTTATAGGCATCTATTAAAGGAAAGGCCAGATTAGAAACATAAATGTATTACAACTGATTAATTTTTTGGTCATTGTTGCTTATACGAGAATAATCTTAAATCAAACTGCTTTAATAGAACTAAAGCCATGTCAGGTTTGAATTGCTATACAGATATTCAAGTGGAAATATAAAGCAGACAACTGGGGTCTGGTGCTTAGAAGAGAGGTTGGAGCTTGGTCCTAAAGATGAAGATTTGGGACTAACGGTAAGAGAATGTCTTATACTTTATTAGAAGATAGTAACACCAATAAGATGATGGTACACATAGATGCTTTGGACTTGAAAAGAGAAGTTGTACAGTAAATGATGGTGGACTTGAAAACAGCGGTTGGGAGCGAGAATCATACCAATACCACCTTTTTCCTGCCCCGATGAATTACAGGCTGAGAGAGAAAACATCACTGGGTAAGATGCTATGGAACAGAGCCTTCAGAGAAAAATATAAGTTCAGTTAAGGCAAGAAAGCAGAAAAAAGGAAGGGATTATTGGGGGCATTTTCACAATAAAATAGGGTTTCCGAAGGACAAAGTAAAAAAGGCTGTTAGAGATACGGTTGCCATAAAATATACAGGATATCAATATTTCATGGGACATACTTATACTGAATAGTTTTTTGCTATTTGAAATTCAAATTTAACTGGATGGGTTGTATGCTTATTTGCTAAATCTGGCAACCCTAGTTAGAGGAATTTTGGAGACTGACAGTGGGTAGGGCTAAGGTAGATAGGGGGGAAAAGTCCAAATGCTGTTTGTTTGTTTGGCTTGAAGACAGGGGGGAAAAAGAAAAGAGACAAATTGTCTAATGGACCAGTGGAAAAAAACCTATTACTTTTATGTACAACTAAAGTTACATATCAGTTTGGGAAATTAGCCTTTTGATTTGTAATTATGTGATTATATTGTAAAGTAGACAATACTGGTTTCTTCCAAAAAGAAGTTCAGCTATTGGGATTCTGCATGAGTTTTATTTAATCAAGTGTAGAACAACTTTAGTGTATAACCAATCTAGAATACTAAAGATCTGATACAAGTTACCTTTAGTTTACAAGGGGTTGGCAAAGTAGAGCAAAGTTAATGTTACAATTTATTTACACTGATTAACATATTCTGCTATAATACTCATTATTCTATGCACATCAACCATGGCTTAAACAGACTTTTTCATCAACTGAATAGTGTTACAAAATGTACATCTTAGTAAATATTTTTGGCTTTACAGTAATGACATACTTAAAGAAAAATGTAAATATCATCTTCTAGTGTAGAAAAAGATGCCACTTGGTCTTTTATTTCATATACTACCACATGACAAAAAAAAGTCGTAGAAATATTTTTAAAAATATAAACTAATCACCAAGAGTTCAGAAAATTGAATCACACATATTAGTACTCTTGATAAGTTAATAAGCTATAAATGTTTGATAGTGTCTTTTAGAACATCATAAATCAAAGTTTTTAGAATTAAAAGTATATGATGGTATCCTTTTGTAGTTCATAAGCACGATGACTGGGTGGGTGTTCATGGTCTTGTATGAAATGTGCCTCCCACAAACCTTGTTATGCCTTTGGCACATCACCCGTCTGACATAAGAAAAATATAAAATAAAAGTATATGATGGTCAATAAAACATTAAAGCAAAAACATTTCTTCTTTATTTATATAGTTACTTCATATATCAGGCAGCCTTAAGAAACACTAGATCTATTTAATTTTCTTTGCTCTCTCAGAAAAAAACAAACAAGAAAAAAGTTATAATTCCTTCTGCATGTTTTGTAACCACAACAGTAACTACTTACAACTACATTTACAACATTTAAAGCAAAATATCCAGATGGGAATTCTGGACAAAGAAGCTTTTATTACCTGGAACCAAACTCTCATTGTAAATCCAAGGAGGCATTCTGGGCTGAACAGGATCTTGTGAGGGAAATACACCCACACCTAGAAGAAGATAAGGAACATTACCTAACATTTATAATGGTCCATGTAGAAAACAGGGGAATCACAATGAGTCATGTTTTTTTATAAAAAGAGCACAGTCACCAATACAACTAAAAAAAAGTCACCAATACAACTAAAATATGTGGTTTCCAAACTCCTATACATTAACTGTGTCCTAAGGAGTCTACTGAAAAAAAACAAACAAAAAAATCCTAAGATGCACCAAATCAATATTCTGAATCATACGAGACTTGCATAATTTCACATGCACTACAAATTAGAGAAAAAAACTCCACAATACTCAGTGGTTTAAAATTATATATGTAAAAATAATGTAGTGCCCACGTTTTACAAAGTCTGATTTTTTTTTTTTTACCTGAATATGACACTGCTGCTTTAAATGTGCAGGATTTTTTATTTTGTCCAGTAAAATATCCCCCAAAAGTTTACCTTCTGGACTGCCCACATTGTAATTCATCTCTGCAAGCTGAGCTTAGAAAAATTTGATCTTTTAGGGAGCAGTGTGTCTGATTTACTATATTCTCATTGGTGACTTTTCCAGTTAAATTTGAACTTTTCAACCTTTACGGAAGAACACAAAGTGCAAGTGGGGAAGAGTTTTTATAAAATAAATTTCAGAAATGATTCTGATTTAAAAAAAGGAATAACTATATTGAAAGAATTCAGAGTAAAATCATAGGGGTTAATTGGAGAAAGAAATGCGTTAAACCTATTTTAAGCAAAATTTTGATTAGCAAAATCAAGCAGCATTCATTTTAAGATTAATGCTTAAGGTGTTAGCATTTGAGCGGCATTTGGTTAAAGAAACTTTTTGCTGAATATTTCATGAGCTCACCACTCTCTTCAATGGGCAGGTTTTGGTCTGAAGTCTTTTCTGCCTCTGCAGTAGTGGTACCACTTACACGTCCATCCACAGCACCCCTGATACTGGCCGTTAAACTGGGATGGTTCCTACTGGAACCTGGGCCTTGGGCTCTGTGCCCAACTTCAGAAGTATTTAATTTAATTTGTTCCTGCCCAGGTGTATTTATATCACAAGATACTAGGAGCTTCTCCTCCAAAGAAGGGCCTAAACAAACAGCATGAAGGATTATTTGCAAATTACTAATTTTTCAATCATCCATTTCCATCCCCAGATTCTAAAGGGAAGACCCTGCCACATATAATGTAAATTTTGAAATAATTCAATTACTATACATTTTTATAGGACTTGAGAGTTACAGATTTTAAATCTACTTTGATGCTCGAGAATTCTAAAACAACAGTTAGAATGGCATAGTGGAAGGAGTACTACCTTAGAAATGTGGTGACCTACACAAGATATGGACACTTCCACTAAATGCAGGTGAGACTCTCAACCAGTAACATCAATTCTGGGTCTGTTTTGCCTCTGTCAATGGAGAAAGGGTGGACTAACTACTTATAAGCTAAAGATCCCTCTCAGCACTACTCTATGTCTCAAGACATGGTGTGTAAGTGCCCCAACCCCCATTATTTCACAAGTGATAAAACTGTGATAGAGACATGTTTAAAGATTTGCCTGAGGACAAACTGACAGCAAATAAAGAACCTGAACAAGAGAGAGCACTTTCTAAAGCAGCTTTCCCTATCTCATTACTCTTATGAAAATGATGTTAGTGATTTTCCCAAACAAGGGTAATCTTCTGAGGAAATCAGTTTGTTTTTAAAATTCTAAAGAGGTTTAAATAGTGCCTAATTTAGGAGCAAGAGTTTTAAATAATTTCTCTGGAAAGTAAGGCCCATAGAAATTAAAAATCTAGATTCTTATTTTGGTGAATTTCAATAGTACTCATATATTCAGGGACATGTTTCTTTGCCAATATCACTGTATTATTCAACTTATATAAGAGAAATGAATAGGCCTAGATTATCTTAAGAATACTTTAATATTCTAGGAGTTACCTGCTCTCTGTACATTGTATGAGGCTGAAGCAGTAGAGAAATAAGGAATTTGTCCAGGGACACCATGTAAGGCAAAAGACACTGGAATCTGACCTGGAGGGAGAGGCTGTGCTCCAGCCTTCTGTGTATGCAACTGGCCAAGTGGGGTGGTGGGATGGAAAGACTGAAAAGGCTGGGAAGTGGAAGAAGGCCCACATGTGGGAACTTCAACAGGCCCCTGCATAAAGTCACTGAATTCTTCTTCATCAAGAAAGGCAGGTGATGGGGAGACAGTTTTAGAATGAGATGATGTGGGATAATCTGCAAAATGGAAAATGGTAATGAAACACAGATAAATGAAAATCAACAGGGAGAAAGAAATTAAGATGTAGTACAATTCCAAAGGAATATACTGAAACATGAATAGTGCAGGTGAACAAGAAATAACAAGTAACAACAGTCAAATGGGATTTTACAATGAATGCAAAACACTTTGATGTCTATTTATACACAATTTGTCTTCTTAAAAAGAGGTTTTATAACTATTTTGCATTTGATTCAAAAACAGAAAAATGTAAAACTCAAAATTTCTTTCCTCTTTTATTAAGTTAGTACTAATTTTCCCCCAAGACCACTAATAATTTACAAAGTGGTGATTACTTTTTAAACTCAAGTGATCTGTTTATCTGGATAATACTTTTTTCAAATAAATATACATCAGAAATAAGAAAACCTACCAAATGCTGCTGAAGACATTTTGGGCAGATATAAACTCTGATGATTAAATTTCATTATGCCAGTAAAGAACACTGTATGATACATACTTATAATTTTTGATATATCACATCTAATCCATACACTTTGCATAGTTCACATTTCAGTAAAGTTACCATGTGAGGAGTGAAAATTACAAAAGACAACAAGAACATTAAACACATTGATTGCCAAGGTGATATTTTTTTGTGAAAAGCATCAAAATTGGGACACCATAAAGTGCTGTGTCAAACAACTCAACAGTCAATTTAAGAAAGGAAATCTCAACTGAGGACTATTTTTACTTTGACTCTAAAGAATACAAACATCACTGTGGCTTTTTAGTGTTAAACGTGAGATTCACTCGTGTAATAAACCTTCTCTAACAGGGACTACATTTAAGAGGAGGCTCATTAACAATACTATTATTGCCATATTTTTAACTACTTTGTATTGCTTTAATATTTACTGAAGTCTAATGTCACAAGGGGCCATCTTTTTTAATTTATTTATTTTATTTAGTTAGTTAATTTTTTAATCCTCACCCGAGGACATTTTTCCATATTTTGTTCAGATAGAGTGGGAGGGAGAGGGAATAAAATGGGAGGGAGAGAGAAACATCGATGGGAAAGGAACACATTGAGTGGCTGCCACCCGCACAACCCAACCAGGGCCAGGGACAAACCGCAACCAAGGTACATGCCCTTAGTGGGAACCGAACCCGGGTCTCTCTGGACCGCAGGCCAACGCTCTAACTGCTGAGCCAAACCAGCCAGGGTGGGGGCCATCTTTTTTTAAAAAAGGGCTCTCTTCTGAAAAATGTGGATGACATGCTTCTCTTTTGGACATTTCTCTCTCTCTCTTTTTTGTTAATCCTTATCCGAGGACATTTTTTGCATTTATCTTCAGATAGAGAGGGAGCAAGAGAGGGGGGAAGAGAGAGAGAAACATAGATGTGAGAGAGACACATTGACTGGTTGCCACCCACACAACCCCAACCGGAGCCTGGGACAAACTGCAACCAAGGTACATGCCCTTAGCGGGAACCGAACCCGGGACTCTCCGGTCCGTGGGCTGACGCTCTAACTGCTAAGCCAAACTGGCCAGGGCTGGACATTTCTCTTTTAGATCTGTGAAACAAACCTGAAAGCATTGAAAGTTCTATGAAAGATGCAAATTGAGTATACAAAATTATTGTCTTAATTAATTTTGTTGAAAAAAGAAAACAGCCTGCCATAACGAATTCCAATTCTCCCAATAATGGTTACTGAGAGTATAATTTAAATTCTCATTTTGGGTTCTCAGACCAGTACTGGTGGAAAACAGTAGTAACGAAAAACTGAGAGCTACTACATTTTTTAAATGGACCTATTTATTGAGGCTGCAAAAGCTAAACCAGTGTTTCTTTGCATTTGACTGGAATTATGTTAATTCTATATGATATATATTTTGGCTTATAAACTCCTGCAGCTCTATATATGATTAATAAGAAGTAGAAAAATTGTATGGTTGATACAATTTGTATGTTTAATATTTTAAGATAAACAGACTATGGGGAGAAATGAAAAAATGCCTTTGGTGGTAAAAATGCTGGAAAATTTACATAATTTAGGCCTAAATTTAAGACTAACTGGAGAAGCTCTGAAAATTCCTTGGGAATTTCTGAATGTCTAAGCATGAAACAGTTAACTAGAAATAGCTAACTGCATGCATGTTGATTAAACTCCCAAGATTATTTGAGTAACAAAATACCAATTTATTATTTCACAATGAGGTTGTTAAACGACATCAGGTTGTCCAAAAACTGGCATTCAATATGGGTAGAGTAGTGTTTGATCTAAAAATGACCATTCCTCTCTGCCACCTTCTTCTTTTTCTATCGGTATATATTTTACTTTGGGATATATTTTTGGTATGATAATCTGTGTATATGATCTAACAAGTAAAATTAATGGGACAAGTCAAAGCTGTCCCAGAAAGTAAAAAACTGGTTACTGTGACATATTAGATTGTTCTCTTTTGACATCACCTATAAAAGACACTATAATACAAGGATTTAAGATAAAATTTATCAATATAACATGTGCCAGCAGAAAATAGTACCGATTGGTTGAATGATTTGAAAACTGTTCACCTATTAATGGTATGTTATTCTTGAAATCAGTTGAGAACAAAATGTCAAATATAAAATTTTAAAAAGGATATGGTACAGTTATGTAAAAGCAAGACTCATTTCAACTTCTAAATGTTCAACACACACACACACACACACACACACACAGGATACCCTTTTACCCTGCTCTAAATAGGCACTTTTTACTTATCTGATGATAAATGATAATAAAAACTACAAAGAAATGTATTACAGAAACTAAAATTTCACGAGAAGCATTAAACCCATGACTTTTTAAAAAAAGGGGCATTTTACAAATTTCTAAGTTTAATCATATTGAATAAAATCTGAACTAGCTCATAAAAAGCAAAATTCTTTTAAAACAATGAGAATAAAACAATAAACTCCTTTATTACATCTGCTTTGAGTGAATGCATTTTACTAATGTTAACATACTCATATATACAGAAGATTTACAAGTGAAGTTGTAATACTGACATTTACTACAAAGAGGTTTTTTTCCCTCCCAAGATAGTTATCCAGATCAGAACTCTTAACCCCTTATAAATTTGAAGACATCCAAATCTGTACTTAGCTTGAAGAGTTCAGCATTGGCTCTTCATACACATATAATGGCCAATAAAATGCAAAGGGACTATAAATCACCTTCCAACAAAAGAAAACTTTTAAATTAAAATACCTGGTTTCTTAGGGTGTGATGCTGGAGTTGGGTGCATCTTAGCATCTCTGGAAAATCCATCTAAGTTTCCTTTTATGGCTTCCAAAGCATCATCTCTACTCTTCTCTCCTGTCTAAGACATAATAAATGAATGTATATTTCGTCATGCATCTCTCACTTCATCTTAAATACTCTCAAATTTTAAGAAAGTACAGATATTAGTCTGTTTCCAGTCATTTTACCACATACTTCTGATAGTGAATTCTCCAAATCAGAAAAAACATTGTTAAGTGTATAAAACAAAGGCATAAAATGATACTCTATAGAATATTTTTATAGGATATAATAGTAAAAAACCCATTTACAAATATCTTAGGATACAACTGTTATATTGTTAATATTAATACACTAATATTCTCTATGCTCCCCTAGAAAAGACTACCAACATTCCAACAGTAATATAAAAAGAGTTGAGAAGACTGGCTGATGTCTCATTTCCCTTAACAAGAGTGTCTTACCAGAAGAAAAACCCTTCACTTCTGGACTTTGACAAACTAAAATGAGTCAACAACAGCCTCAGCTTGGGCTGTTGTTTAAGTGACAAAACCCACTGAATGAGTGAGAAGAGGCACATGCAGGATGTGTGTGTGCTATGGTGGAGGGGTGGCAGAATATATCACCTTGGGTTTCACACTACTCAGAAGTCTGAGCTTTTGCTTCTGCTCTTCAAACTGGCGCCTTTTTCTTTCTTCTTCTAAGAGCTTTTGCTGTTGTTCAAATCGTTTTCTGAAGGAAAAACGTTCTAGTAAAGAACCAACTTCAGTGATTATCAACTGTTATATTCACATTTCTACTAACAATTTCAGCACTATCCCCTTATATTTCTAGAACTAAAAACTTTTCTGATTATATCTAATTTTCAGATGACAATTCTATTTCCCTCACTACTAATTTCAAAATGAGTCTAAAAAAGTGACTTATCTAAATTTATTTCTTGTTTAATTTGCAAGGGGAGAACAATCTTTTGCATTCAAAAGCAATCTTAAAAAAACAGACAGGGAGTTAGACAAAATAAAAACACTCCATGCTCTGGATATAAAGAAAAAACTTCCACGTGGGAAGGTGTGTCATATGGGAGAAAGAGCAATTTTCTGGGAATCAGAACAGCTGCATTTAGGTCCAGGCTCTGCTAGTAACTGTGTAACCTGGACTCACAGTGGCTTCATTTCTCTGGACCTCACTTTTCATAGATGTAAAATTAGAGGGTTGAATTAAAGAATCTCTAAGGTCCCTTCTGGCTTTAAACTTATAATAAAGTATTTTAAAGAGTTTTAAAGGCCACGTGACTGTTTCGGCTTCAAATCTGCATTAAAGAACATTTGAAATGCTTAGAATAACTACTATCTGTATTTTTATCCTTGAATCCTGAGGTGCCTTACTGCTGCTCTTCAGCAAACTGCTTCTGCATGTCTGGAGTGTATTGTGGGCCCGGAGGGCGCATCCCCAAGAACTGCGCTTGTCCCAGGTAAGGCATTCCTGCTGTTGGCATTGGTCCCATTGGTATCCCTGCCTAGAAGAAAAGGACAAAGGCTCAAAAACTACAATTTATCCTTTTAATTATTACAAAGAAAAACTGTAACTTCCATAAATTCTTTTGTAATATTTTTTATTGAATTATATAAATACATTTTAATAAAAGATATAAAGAACATAGGCTAAAAATTGAAAGCTCCCCTTAGTATCTCACGTCCTTCTTTCCTTCACTGTTCTAGAGGTGACCACTGCTAATAATCTGAGGGTGTGAGTGTGTAAAGCTTTCAGGTTGTGTACGGTAGCAGATTCACACACACACACACACACACACACACAGTTATATTCTGGTGAACTCACTGATCCATACTCTGAGAAGAAGTACCTATCTTACAATTCTTTATTTCTAGCAATAGATAAGAGCCTGCAACATGGTAGTTATTCCACAAATGGGATTAAACATGTTTTTCTAATATGTATAAACAATTTTTTAAAAATATATTTTTATTGATTTGTAGAGAGAGAGGAAGGGAGAAGAAGAGAGAAAGAGAAACACTAATGTGACAGGAGGACATCAACCGGCTGCCTCCTGCTCACCCCCCACCGGGAGTTTTCCTCATACGTGTCTGTGGTTGGTTGGGGCTAATTGAGTTTGGGGAAAATATAAGATCTGAATGAATTTCTCCTTTAAGCAGCTTACAAGCAATATAATGCCTGTCAGCAAGATTAGAAGTTAAAGAAAAAGATTATGGCTTCTTTATTTTAGAATCATTAATTCTAAGCTCCTGATGCCCAGGAATTATTTGGAGAATATCAAATATGATAGTTTACTTTTTTATATTGTGTTCTGCATGTTAGAGATATTTGTTGCTTTTCGTTGTTTCAAACTCTTTAAAAACATTTTTCAGATAATTATGTGAGTCATAAAACAATGTTTATTGTTAAAATCAATGACAGCCCTGGCCAGTTTGGTTCAGTAGTTAGAATGACAGCCCAGAGACCAAAGGGTAGTGGGTTTGATTTCTTTTTGAGGGTACGTACTTGGGTTGCAGGTTCAATTTCTGGCCCCAGTTGGGGTCATGCAGAAGGCAACCAATCAATGTGTCTCTCTCATATTGATGTTTCATTCTCTCTCTCTATCTCCCCCGCCCCTTCCCGCCTTCCCTCCCACTCCATCTAAAAAAATCAATGGAAAAATATCCTCGGGTAAGGATTAACAATAACAAAAAATAAATCAATGACTTAAAAATTTATCAGTTGTTATTAAGATTCAGTAGTAAGCTTACTAAGTCTTAATTAAAACACACTGTATTCTATGGCAGATTGTTTCCAGTCATTTGCTGCCATTACTCTAAGAGGATTACACATCCCTGTGAGGGTATGCACTCCTGCTATATTCCCCTACTGACATTCACTCTGACCACATTACTTTGGTGAGTAGAAATGATTGAAAGTGTTATTTCTGAGAGAAAATTTTAAAAGACATCACAGGCCAGGCTGGTGTGGCTCAGTGACTGAGCATCGACCAATGTACCAAGAGGTTGCCAGCTCAATTGCCAGTTAGGGCATAGGCTCAGGTTGTGGATCTGATGCCCAGTGAGGGGCATGCAGGAGGCGGCCAATCAATGTTCTCTTTCATTGACGTTTCTCTCTCTCTCCCCCTCTCCCTTTCTCTCTCGCTCAAATCAATAAAGGAAAAAAAAAATAAAATAAAAGACATCACAGGGTTTGGCCATCTTTTCCCAATGCCAAGCGGCTAGGATGTCCTAGGTAGGTAAGGGTCTCAGGATAAAGTGAACATGGAGCTGAGTCAACCCATAAAGGATATATATCACAAATGAGAAATAAACCTGTTTTTATAAGTCACTGGGATTTTGGGATTGTTGTTTCTACAGCATAATCTAGTGAAAGCTGAGTAACATGAATTTAAGACCTATAAAAGCTCAATTTATTCTTATTTTCTTTCTACTAAAGATGAATAAAGAATGATTCTGGCCCTGGCCGGTTTTGCTCAGTGGTTAGAGCATCGGCCTGCGGTCCAGAGAGACCCGGGTTTGGTTCCCACTAAGGGCATGTACCTCGGTTACAGTTTGTCCCCGGCCCTGCTTGGGTTGTGTGGGTGGCAGCCACTCGATGTGTCCCTTTCACGTCAATGTTTCTCTCTCTCTCTTCCTCTCTTTCCCTCCTACTCTATCTGAACAAAAAATGGAAAAATGTCCTCGGGTGAGGATAAAAAAAAAAAGATTCTGGAAATTTTCCTAAATATTTACATAAAACAGAGAAGTTTTATTTGCTTAAATGACTGCAACATGACAATGATTTCAACTTAAAATTTGATTGTAAACTCCCAATATAGCTTACAAATTATATACATGTGCTATTGTACTAACTTATTGTATACAGTACATGATAAAACACACAGAAATAAAAATTTAAATAATTAGGTAAAAATAAAATTTAAGACATTTAAAAATCTTCTTTGTTCTGGCTTACTTGTAAATCAATGTTTATTTATTTATTTTTAAATACTATAACACTGGATTCAGCCATTCAAAGATCTGACTCCTGGATTCAGTTTATTTCATTACTTGATTTAAATGCATATCACAGCTGTAGAAGATAATTTACAAAGACACAAAGATGCAAATGGAAGAAGTCCATCTTAGGGTGTACTGACTAAATCATGATACTTACTACTCCCTATCTATGATCATGCCAGTTATGCAGGGACACATGTTCAGCACAATAGCAGGAAAAGTCTCTTCAATTCTCCTGCAGCTCTCATTCAGATTTCCTTTTATGTCTTGTTTTGTTATTGTTTTTTAATCAAATCCCTCCCTTTTCAAAAATGTAAACCTTACAGAAAATTTGGAAGAACAGTATAATATTAACATTTTGCCCCACTTGCTGTCTCCATATAAGCAGTTCTCAACCTTCCTAATGCTGCGACCGTTTAATACAGTTCCTCATGTTGTGGTGACCCCCAAACATAAAATTATTTTTGTTGCTACTTCATAACTATAATTTTGCTATTGTTATGTCTTAGGCGACCCCTATGAAAGGGTCATTCGACCCCCAAAGGTGTCGCAACCCACAGTTTGAGAACCGCTGCTCTATACATACCTACACATTTTCCTTTTGCTGAATCATTTGCAGGTAACTTGTAGGCATATTTTACTTTATTTTGTTTTATCAAAAAGAAAGTACATACAAGGTTTATAAACTCTAAGTAAGAGCATCTAGCTAGAATTAGGTAATACTGTTTTGATTCACCATATTTATTTTTTGGTTACCCTCTGTTTGTAACAAATGAAGGTTTTCTATTTACTTTAGCAATATAAAATATTCCTTTCAGAATCTGTTAAAAACCTAATTAATTAAAATGTTAATTAAATAATACATGGCAAAAATCATGAAGGTATTTCTCAAAGGACTGAAGTTTGGGGAACACTGGTAGTTAAGAACTCAGGCTCTGAAATATAAGAGCTTTGGTTTAAGTTTGCTCTGAAACAAGTTTTATAACACTGAACAAGGCACTGACTCTCTGACTGCAGTTCTTCACCTATTAAACGAGAATAAAAATATTAGTTATCTTACTGAGTTGTTATGAGGGCTGAATGATATAATGGATTCAACAAATATAGCACACTAAACAATAAATGGCGGTTATTATTATTACTATCAATCAAGAAAGAATGTTTCAACCCGAAATGAGGGTTTTGAGTCAATGAAAGCAAGGGAACAAGATGAATTAAAAAACAAACAAAAACCCTATGAGATAATGTGCCACTTGAAAGATTGTTCCTGATATTAACATTAATATAAGAAATAAACAGCCCTGGCCGGTTTGGCTCAGCGGTTAGAGCATCAGCCTGCGGTCCCGAGAGACCCGGGTTCGGTTCCCGCTAAGGGCATGTACCTCGGTTGCAGTTTGTCCCCGGCCCTGGCTGGTTGTGCGGGTGGCGGCCACTCGATGTGTCCCTTTCATGTCGATGTTTCTCTCTGTCTCTCTCTTCCTCTCTCTCCCTCCCACTCTACCTGAACAAAAAAAATAGAAAAAATGTCCTCGGGTGAGGATAAAAAAAAAGAAATAAACATATCTTGCCACTTCCTGTTGTGTGTGTGCCAGGTACAATGCTAAGTGCTTTATATAATTCCTTCAATCCGTTCTGCAACCATACTGGCAAAGTGCTATTACATCCTGTTTTACAAGTAATTGGCAAAGCTGGGATTTGAACTTGGGTCTATCTAACACCAAAACCCATGTTGTTGTTGTTGTTTTTTTCTTTAACCTACTTGCTCACTTCTGTGGCTTCTCCTCTTCAATATCCTGTGTTGCCAACTCACTCCCTTAGATTGATGGATTATTTGATTTTAATTTTTTTTTTTTACTTTTATTTTTCAATTACAGTTTACATTCAATATTATTTTGTTTGCTTTCATTTGTTGCCATACACTATTTTTAAAATTTTATTTTTAAGTTTATATTCAATAGTATTTTGTATTAGTTTCAGATACATAGCATAGTGGTTAGACAATCATATACTTTACAAAGTTTTCCCCCTGATATTTCCAGTACCTACCTGGGGACCATGCACAGTTATTACAATATTGACTATATTCTCTATGCTGTACTTTACATCCTCATGACTGTTTTGTAACTACCAATTTGTACTTCTCAATGCCTTTACCTTTTTCACCCAGTCCCCCAATTCCTACTCTTCTGGCAACCATCACTGTATCTGTGAGTCTATTTCAGTTTTGTTTGCTCCTTTATTTTGTCCTTTAGATTCCACATATAAGTGAAATATGTGGCATTTGTCTCACTCTCTTATATTTAAAAGTTGAAGTCCTGAAGGCTCTATCCTGGACCACTTTTTCCATCTATAGTGTTCTTGGATGTTTCAATTCACCCCTTCAGCATCAATTACCTTCTATGAGTAGATGAGTCTCAAATCTATAATTTCCAACCCAGAGTGAAAAATGAGCCAAGTTCAGGTTATTAAATTGTTGCTGGATAGCCCTACTTGAAGTTTCATGGGTTCTCCAAAGTCAACAATTTTACTGTCTCCTCCAGTGTTTCTTTTATTTTATTTATTTATTTTTTTATCCTTACCCGAGGACATTTTTCCATGTTCAGATAGAGTGGGAGGGAAAAAGAGGAACAGAGAGAGAGAGAACCATCAACGTGAAAAGGATACATCGAGTGGCTGCCTCCCGCATGACCAACCAGGGACAGGGACAAACTGCAACCGAGGTACATGCCCTTAGCGGGAACCGAACCCGGGTCTCTCTGGACCACAGGCCGATGCTCTAACCGCTGGGCCAAACCAGCCAGGGCCAGTGTTTCTTTTATCAATAAACGACACCACCAGTTAGTTGCTAAAGTAGAAAACAAGGAATTAATTTGATACCATCATTTCCTTTATTTTCAACAGCCAGACACTCAGCAAGTCTTATCGATTTTATATCCTAAATCATACTCAAAAACATCTGTCTCCATCCCTCTCCTACCACCCTAATTAAAGCTAACATCTCACCTGCTCTCAGAACCTCAGTCTTTTCATTTTTCCCCTTATATCCACTTTTGTTTTTCTGCCTCCAGTCATTCTCCAACCAGCAGTCAGGATGATCATTTTGAAATAAAAATCTGATTGTCATTCCACTGCTTTAACCTATGGGCTCCCTAATGATCTTAAGAAAGAATCTGATGTATAATATGGTAAGAACAGCATATCAAAGACAGGTTCAAATTCCGGCTATTATCTGTAAGCATCCCCACAAGGCTTCAGTTTCCTCATAAAAAAAATGAAGATACCACTTCTTTAAAAAAGTTGTTATGGGGTTTAGATGAGATAATTTAATATAAAGAAGGCTCTGAGCCTTCCAAACAATGACATAGTTCCTTCAATGAAAAGAGTTGCTACTACTACTACTTCTTTTTTTGGTTAATCCTCACTCAAGGATATTTTTCCATTGATTTTTAGCTAGAGTGGAAGGGAGGGAGGGAGGGAGGGAGAGAGAGAGAGAAATATCAATGTGAGAGAGACACATCAACTGATTGTCTCCCACATGACCCTGACTGGGGCTTAGGATCAAATCTGCAATCCAGGTAAATGCCCTTGACCAGGAATCAAACCTGAGACCCTTCGGTCCCTGAGCTGATGCTCTAACCACTAAGCAAAACCAGCCAGGGCAAGTTGCTACTTCTAACAATGCTACTTCATGGCATCAGGTTCCTGAGTTTTCCAATATATCATTCTAAAATTCTTCTAAGCCAGTAGATATAGAGAAGTCATCAGCTTTTTCTTAAATGATTTATCTTTTATTTTTTTCTCTCTCTTACGAATATATCTTCATTTTATTTTAAAAGAAGCCACCTAACATGTAGACTACACTTATTTCTAAATATAACATTAAAGTTCTAGAACAATAAACAATAATTTTGTAAACAATCAGTTAAAGAGGCAAGTACCTGCATAGCAATAGGTCCCTGGGACATTTGAGAGCTGTAATTCATTCCTATCATGCCTTGCATATTAGGCTGCATGACAGAGACCATAGGAAATCCTTGTTGTTGCATCGGCATCAGGCCTGCTGAAAAAAATAAAGGTATCATTAAAGTCAATGTGTTTGTTCTAAAGTTTATTTTCTTAAAACCCTAAGTACCTAAAGGACTTATTACTTGGAAGGTGGCACAGTTAGTGGAAAAAGTACAGGCTCTGGAGTAAGACAAACAAGTGTGAATTCCAACTCCATCATTTACTTAGCTATGTGATATTGGGCAAGTTATCAAATTTCATCTATGACAGGAAGATAATAATACTTGTTTTATAGAATTTTTGTGTATACTTAAAAAATTAATAGTATGACCTAATTGTTCCACTTGGCCTTCAAGGTGGTCCCCAGTAATCTGTCTCTTGGTATGCTACTCTTGTCATTCCCTCCCACACTGAATAGGGCTGACCACTATAACCAGTAGGATATTGTGGAAATGACGGGTTTGTTCATTAAAAACAACTGAAGCTGCCCTGGCCAGTTTTGCTCAGCGGTTAGAGCTGCGGCCTGCGGTCCAAAGAGACCTGGGTTTGGTTCCCGCTAAGGGCGCGTACCTCAGTTGCAGTTTGTCCCCGGCCCTGGTTGGTCGTGCGGGCAGCAACCACTTGATGTGTCCCTTTCACGTCGATGTTTCTCTCTCTCTCTCTCTCTCTCTCCCCCTCCCTCCCTCCCTCCCTCCCTCCCTCCCACTCTATCTGAACAAAAAATAGAAAAATGTCCTCGGGTGAGGATAAAAATTAAAAAAAAAAAAAAACTGAAGCTTCCTCCTTGGTCTCTTAGATCACCTCCTCTAGGGAAAGCCACTGCTACATCATGAGAATACTCAAGCAAGTCCCATGGAGAATCCACATGGCAAGAAACTGAGATCTCTTGCCAAAAGGCAGCACAGATTTGCCATCTATGTGAGTGAGTCATCTTGGAAACAGATATTCCAGCCCCATTAAACCTTTAGATGACTACAGCCCTAGCTAACATCTTTACTGCAATCACTTTAGCCCTGTACCAAAACCACCCAGTGAAGCCACTCCCATACACCTGACCCATAAACACAGTGCTTATTTTTTTAAATAAATGTTTATATTTTAAAATTTTGGGTTAATTCTTTATGCAGCAGCATATAACTAATGCAATAGTGGTTAAGAGTATGAACTTTGGGTGCCAACTACAACTGTCACTTACTAGCTTTGGGACCATGAGCAACTTGCTTAACTTTTGTGTCTCAGTTTCTCATCTGTAAAACTGTTTAATACCTAATATGTTTGAAGAAATGATATCCCGCCCTGGCCAGTTTGGCTCAGCGGTTAGAGCGTCGGACTGCGGTCCTGAGAGACCCGGGTTCGGTTCCCGCTAAGGGCACGTACTTCGGTTGCAGTTTGTCCCCGGCCCTGGTTGGTCGTGCGGGTGGCAGCCACTCGATGTGTCCCTTCACATCTATGTTTCTCACTCTCTCTCCCTTCCTCTCTCTCCCTCCCACTCTATCTGTACAAAAAATGGAAAAATATCCTCGGGTGAGGATAAAAAAAGAAATGATATCCCTCTTCTCTTTCCTGATATGAGTAGTTAAAACTAACATTTACCACAAAACAGCCACCAGCATGTAAAGTAAAACTATGACGAAAGTATGACTTAGAGTATAGTATCTCCCAAACTTTTCCAATGAAGATACATCCCTTTGAGGATATAATAAATACTAAATGCCATATTTCAGACATAGTTCTAGATACTTGGCATACAACAGTGAATAAAATCAAATCCCTGCCCTGGCCGGTTTAGCTCAGCGGTTAGAACATCGACCTGTGGTCCAGAGAGACCCGGGTTCGGTTCCTGCTAAGGGCATGTACCTCGGTTGCAGTTTGTCCCCAGCCCTGGTTGGGTCGTGTGGGTGGCAGCCACTTGATGTGTCCCCTTCACGTCGATGTTTCTCTCTCTCTTCCTCTCTCTCCCTCCTGCTCTATCTCAACAAAAAATGGAAAGATGTCCTTGGGTGAGCATAAACAAATAAAAATAAATAAAATAAAATCCCTACATACCCTGAACACAAATTTTAATCTAATTTTGCATTTTATCACATATTACATTCATGTTGGTTCTATTATATGGAGCTTTCAAATTTTGATTTAAAAATTAAAGATCTAGTAAAGCATACCATGTTTATCTTATGTGTTCTGTGAACCTTCAAAGTTATTTACACATAGTTCAATTTCAGGAACATGAACATCCATATTTGTAGGTAACATTTATTAGTGGTAAGCTATTCATTTATTCATTCAATTTTATTTATGCAAGTATTTGAGGGCCTACTCCATGTCAGGCACCATTCTAAGGACACAGCAATTGGCAAAACCAGGTTTTTGCCCTCATGAAATGTACACTGTAATGAGGAGAGATAGACGATAAAATGTAAATATATGTCAGGTGGTGATAAGAGGTAGGGCAATAAATAAAGCAGGGTAAGGGGGAAAGGGAGAGTTAGAGAAAGGAGTGGTTGCTGTTTCATAGCCAGAAAAGGTTTCACCAAAAGGATAGCATTTAAGCAAGGATTTGAAAAAGTAACAGAGTAAACCATGTGGATATCTGAGAAGAGTATTTCAGACAAAAGAACACCAAATGCAAAGATCCTAAGGTGTCATGGAAAATTAGAATGCACAGATTGAATAAAACCATAGTAAAATGTTTTCCCTCTTATCCCTTTGGACCTAAAGTTTTATTTATTTTCATTAATTTTATTTAAAATTAATTCTTGAATGGGTAACTCAGATACTTGGTACAACACTTAAAGGTATAAAGGAATACACAATAAAAAATAAGATTCATTTCTCTCCTGTCTCCTGTTCACCAATTCATGATCTATGGCTACTCTTGCTGTCAGTCTTGTATATGCTCTCAGAAATAATTCATGCATAGAATTCCAGTCAAGATGGCAGCGTAGGTAAACGCGGCACTCGCCTCCTTCCACAACCACATCAAAATTACAACTACAGAACACCCATCCTTCAGAACCACCTGAAATCAAGCTGAATGGAAGTCCTACAACTACAAAATTAAAGCAGCCACATTGAGACTGGTAGGAGGGGCAGAGGCGCGGATGGGCTGGTCCCACACTCATGTGTAGTGGATAAAAATCAGGCTACCTCAGCTGGGAAGGTCCTTTCTGAGTGAGGGGTCCCTGTCCCACACCAGGCTCCTAGCTCAGTTTTCCAGTTCCAGGAAGAGAAGTCCCCATCATTTCTGGCTGTAAAACCAGTGGGAACTGAGGCTGAGGGAGGCTGAGGCTGCTGGAGCTCCAGGCAGTCCCTCTTAAAGGGCCCACACATGGACTTAGTTGGACCTGCTCCCTCTGAGCTCCAGCAGAGGGGAGGCAGCTTGAAAGGCACCAGAGACCAAGGGGAAGAACTGAGTTGTTTGGCATCGGGGTGAGGACTAGAGAGGCAGCTTCTTTCTGGACAGATGTGCTGGTGGAGGCCATTGTTCCTTTGGTGAGTCCTTCTCCCACAGGGCAGGCAGAGGGCCGCCATATCTGGGACTCCAGCAACCTGGCTCATGCTGTTTGCTCTGGCCTGGTGATTGCCTGAGGCCCTGCCTGACCCAACATTCAGGCCCACCCAAGCTGTTTCCAGTGGCTTTACCATAGGATTGGCCTGTTTTGGCTACTGCTTCAGATCTTCCTAAATTCTCTCAAACAAGCAGCACCTGGCCACAGCGAGCCCCATACCTCCTGCTAAGTGGCCCCAGGCCTGGTATTAGAAGCAGCCAGCCTTGGTTCACAGCATGGCTTCGCCTGGGCACCTCCAAGCCCAGCACAAGCAGCAGCCATCAGCCGATCACTTTGTAGCTTATGCCTGATGGTCCCGGGTAGAACACAGGCAGTGGCTGACTTTGCCCCAGAGCCAGCACACCCAGTGGACCGCTTCAGACCACGTTGAAGCACCACCACCCAATCACCTCCATAAGTGACACACTCAAGGAATGGACTCAGGGAGTACCAGAGCACTGCTGAAGTCTTGCTCTACACAGCTGATCATCCAAGGTAGTCAGAGGTCGGTAGTTAGCGAGCACAGCCAGTCCTTGCAGCTGATTAGCCTAAGTAAAACCCTCCCATTTACATGCCGAAAGCAATCAAGACTCAATTACAACAGAAGGGTGTAAAGTCCACATGAGGGGTGCACCTCAAGAGCCCAGATGGGTGATCAGGGAGGCTGTGCCACTGGACCCTACAGGACACCTACTACAACAGGCCATCCTACGAAGCCTAGGAGACATAACAACTCTACCTAACACATAGATACAAACACAGGGAGGCAGCCAAAATGAGGAGACAAAGAAACATGTCCCAGTTGAAAGAACAGAACAAAACTCCAGGAAAAGAACTTAACAAAATGGAGATAAGCAATCTAACAGATGCAGAGTTCAAAACACTGCTTATAAGGACACTCAACAGCCCTGGCCAGTTTGGCTCAGCTATTAAGAGCATCAGCCTGAGGTCCAGAGAGACCCGGGTTCAGTTCCCGCTAAGGGCACGTACCTTGGTTGCAGTTTGTCCCCAGCCCTGGTTGGGTCGTGTGGGTGACAACCACTCGATGTGTCCCTTTCACGTCGATGTTTCTCTCTCTCTCTCTCTCTCTCCCCCTCCCAGCCTATCTGAACAAAAAATGGAAAAATGTCTTCGGGTGAGGATTAAAAAAAAAAAAGGACACTCAATGAACTTAGTGAGGGCCTCCAGAGCAAAAGGACCAGTCAGAAATGAAGGATGCACTAACTGAAACAAAGAATAATTTACAGGGAATCAATAGTAGAGTAGGTTAAACCAAGGAGCAAACTATTGATTTGGACTATAAGGAAGCAAAAAACACCCAATCAAAACAGCAAAAAGAAAAAAGAATCCAAAAAAATGAGGATAATATAAGGAGCCTGTGGGACAATTTCAAGCATACTAATATTCGCATCATGGGAGTACCAGAATGAGAAGAGAGAGGGCAAGAAATTGAAAACCTATTTGAATAAATAATGACAGAAAAATTCCCTAACTTGGTGAAAGAAACCTACATACAAGTCCAGGAAGCACAGAGAATCCAAAACAAGATGAACCCAAAGAAGTCCACACCAAGACACATCATCATCAAAATACTGAAGGTTGAAGACAAGGAGAGAATCTTAAAAGCATCAAGAGAAAAGCAGTTAGTTACCTACAACAGAGCTCCTATAAGGCTGTCAGCTGATTTCTCAAAGGAAACTTTGCAGGTCAGGAGGGAGTGGCAAGAAATATTTAAAGTGATGAAAAGCAAGGACCTACAACCAAGATTACTCTATCCTGCAAAACTATCATTTAGAATCAATGGCCATACAAAGAGCTTCCTAGGTAAGAAAAAGCTAAAGGAGTTCATCACTACCAAACTAGTATTACATGAAATGTTGACAGGTCTTCTTGAAGAAGATAAAAAAATATGAACAATAAAATGGCAATAAATATATCTGTCAACAATTGAATCTACATACAAAATGAGCAGCAGAACAGAAACAGACTCATAGATACCGAGAAGTTTGTGTTGGTTGCCACATGGGAGGGGAGTTGGGTGAAAAAAGATGAAGAGATTAAGAAGTACAAATCAGTTATTAGAGTGATGAAACTCAAATGGAAGTGGGGAGATGGGTTGGGAAGAAAGAAACCAAAGAACTTATATGCAAATATACATAACCAATAGACACAGACAATAGTGTGGGGAAAGCAGTAGGAGTGCAGGATTGGGGAGGAAGGAGTCAAAGGGGGTGGGGAAAGAGGGACATCTGTACTACATTCAATACAACAATAAAGGTAAGTTAAAAAAATAATTCATGCATAATTTAAAGCCTTCAAATGATCAAAAAGTCCACTCTAACATACTCTGTAAAAAGAAAAAAAAATCTCTAAAACAGTTCCAAATTCCAGAAGAAAAATATCAGGCAACCTTTTAGGGTCTCTTCCTGTCCTGTTCCTTTGCTCCATAAATAGATTTTTATTTGCAAGTTTATAAAAATGAGCTATGATAATGAACATATAACTGTAATGCCTTCTTAAAGAACAAAAGATCTCAAACCATTTGATCTATATCTGGGACACATCTAATTACAGATAGCTTAAATAATGCACAAATGTGAGCACAATGAAAAGAATACAACTGACCCTTGGAAAAATTTACCTGAAACTCAACCTCCATCACTGATTATAAATGGAAACAAAGTCAGTGTGAGCCACTGACCACCTGCTACTGAGCAGCTCTTTATCATTCATCTCTAACAATGATCTAGGAGTCTGTTTCTCTAGCAAGTCTACCATAACCAATCAACACTGGCGTTGTGAGAAGGGCCAGTTTTCAGAAGTAGCTTGGTATGTGGAACGAAGGAGGATAAAGTGGAATGGGAAAAGTGAGCAGAAAGATCAGACTTATTCTTCCTTCAATGTTGTGTCCCAGGCAGCATGAGTAAAAATTACATCCCTTCACTGCTGTTTCCTTGAAGTGAAAGCTAGAATTGATAGAGGTGGTCCCTTGTCTGAAACTATGAGGGAAGATAAAGAAACTGCACCCTGGCCAGTTTGGTTCAGCGGTTAGAGCATCAGCCCACGGACGGGGAGAGTCCCACATTTGGTTCCCGCTAGGGGCATGTACCTCGATTGCGGTTTGTTCCCGGCCCCAGCTGGGGTTGTGTGGGTGGCAACCAGTCGATGTGTCTCTCTCACATCCATGTTTCTCTCTCTCCCTCCTGCTCTATCTCAAGATAAATGCAAAAATGTCCTCAGGTGAGGATAAAAAAAAAAAATTGCTAAGAATAAATCTGAAACTAAAAATAGTTAAAACTGAATCAGAATATGTGATCTCTTATGTATATGACTATAATAAGACCAAATTCATATAGAGAAAATATGATACTATAAAATAACTGAAGAGGTTTACTTATTCATTCAACAAACATTTCTAGAGACCCTATTATTTCTACCAGCATGCTGGTGTTGGGTGCTAGATACGCTAATGAGCACAAGGCAAACACAGACCCTGACCTAAGGAGCTAACCACCTAGGAGAAAACTAGATGGAAGGAAAGAGATGTCATTTAGAGAATTCTTTAATACTCTTGTTCTGAAAGTCTCCATCTCTGAGGTTAAGTAACAATCTATTAATACAATGTTTAAATAAGTTTGGGAGAAATGAAGAATGATGCTTAGTATTCCACCAATTACATGATCTTTGAGAAATTTTAAGAGTAGTGTCATATACGTTCAAGACTATAGGAAAATTTTACTCTATTTGGCACAAAACTTTTTTTTTTAATCCTCACCTGAGGACATTTTTTCGTTTTTTGTTCAGATAGAGTGGAGGGAGAGAGAATAAGAGAGAGAGAGAGAAACATCGACATGAAAGGGACACATCGAGTGGCTGCCACCCGCACGACCCTACCTGGGTTGGGGACAAACTGCAACTGAGGTACGTGCCCTTAGCGGTAACCGAACCCGGGTCTCTCAGGACCGTAGGCTGATGCTCTAACCGGCCAGGGCTGGCACAAAACTTCTTTACCCACTTAATCCCAAGTTCAGAAGTTTAACAGTGAAAAATACAAGTTCCAAACTTAACCTTCTGCTTACCTTGAGGGGGTCTTATTCCACCCGCAACTGGAAACATGAAGCTGAAAACAGAACAAAAATAGATTGGGATCTTCATATATACAAAGATTTCAAATAAAACATGTCATTTTTTACATAAATAAAAAAATTGTAGACAGGACCCTGACGTTTATTCTGCAGTACAATACTGAATTATCCAATATCAGTACAGAGTGAAAATTCACAGGCGTCATAATAATTAGCCTGCTAATGTAGGGGGAAATTTTTGAACTAGAGGACAGAAGATCTTGAAATTAGTCCTGGTTCTGTCACTGTGTGACTTTCCTGGATTCCAATTTCCCCATCCATAAAATGAGAGGGTTGGATTAGATTCAATTCAGTGAACACTGAGTGAAAGTAGTGAATTAGCTCACAGTCCCACTGAACACAAAGATGCAAATGACTTTAACATAGGACAGAATGTGCTAAGTGCTGTGAGAGGTCCAAACACTAACAGAGATGAGAAGAAAAAGACTGTCATGGGCTACACCTTGGGAAGTTTTGTGGGGGTATCTTTTGAGCTGAATCTTAGAGAGGCACACTATAAGGCTTGAGCAAAAAAGCTCTGAGGCTGGTGTGTTCAGAGACATGACTTAAGGTTAACATAAAATATAGAATTAGACAAGTAAACAGATTATAGAGGGCCTTTAAAATGTTTAATTTTATTTTGAATATTATACAAAGTTGTCAGAGGTTTTATAAATTGTGGTGAAATATACATAAAATTTTATTATTTTAATCATTTTTAAGTATATAGTTCAGTAGAATTAAGTACATTTACAACACTGTACAACCACCACCATGTTTCATTTCTAGAACATTTTCATCATTCTGAATAGAAACTCTGTACCCATTAAACAATCTCCTCTTAGCTCCTAGTAGCCACTGTTCTACTTTTATCTCTATGAATTTACCTACTCTAGCTACCTCATATTAAGTGGAATCATATCATAATTGTCCTTTTGTATCTAGCTTATTTCACTTATAATGTTTTCAAGGTTGTAGCAAGTATAAGAATTTCATTCCTTTTTATGGCTGAATAATACTCCATCATATGTACATACCACATTTTGTTTATCCATTCATCTGTTGATGGACACTTGTTTCCATCTTTTTTGGCTGTTACGAATAATGCTGTAATGAACACTGGTACACAAGTACCTGTTTGAGTTGCCTCTGTCAATTTTTGGGGGTATATACCTAGTGGTGGAATAGCTGGATAATATAGTAATTTTATGTTTAATTTTTTTAGAAACTACCAAACTATTTACCATAGCAGCTGCACCATTTTACAGTCTCCCACCAGCAATGCATGGAGGTTCTAATTTCTTCACATCCTCACTAACACTTGTTATTTTCTGCTTTTTTTGGATGATAGTTATCCTAAAGTATGTGAAGTGGTACTTCATTGTGATTTGGATTGGCATTTCCCTAATAATCAGTTATGTGCTTTAGGTTTCTCTGGTAACAGGGTACAGCATGGAAGACTATCCCAATAATCTTAGTAACAAATGAAAAGGGCCAGAACCAAAGTAGTGGGAATGGCAAAGAAGAGGTGAATGAAAGTGATTTGAAAGGAAGAATCAACAGAACTTGGCAACTGCCAGCATGGGCAACAGTAGTGAAAAAGTAGGGCGAGCAGAACATAATGCTAAGCTTTTGAGCCTGAGCAACTGCAAGGGCACTGATGCTGTTTACTGAAAACAGGAACCCACTGAGAGGAGGTTTGGGGAGAAAGGTGGTAGGAATTTGTCCATGAGAAGCATTCTAGCAGGCAATCAGAAAGGTAACTCAAGCTCAGGAGCAAGGTCTAGGTCAATCTAGCTAGGCTCTTTTAAATAAAGGTAAAAAACAACAACAACAAAAAACAAAAAACTGAGCTCTAGTTGTGGAGGAAAAAGCCAAAGGAATGTGCATATATAGTAAGAAGGCAACAAGGGACAACTTAGGAGAATTCTCACAGTGACAAATGAGTAGGGAATGGTCACTGAGAACTAAAGGAGTTGGTTATAACTGAGAGTTGTAACTGAAGAACAATTACGTTTCAGGGAGAAGGAAATAGTTACTAGTGTCTAATGCTGTAGAAAAGCTGATTAGAATGAGGATAATAAAGATCACTGCTTTAGAAAATGGTGATCTTTGCATGGACAGTTTCAAGAGGAAGAGGAAGAAACCTGCAGGGAGAAAGATTTAGAATAGAAAAGTTATACTTAGTAATTGACAAAACACGGTTTTTCAGGGGAATGGGATTAACACAGCGAAATAGCAAAAGAGATCTGCTTTGAAAAGGAAGAGGGGCTTCTTAGATTAAAAGGAAAGAAAGTGGGACAAATCAAGGGAGAAAAACTCTGAGTGAGAAATGCTTTTAATTTGGGAGTTAAGGATCTGAAGAGGATTTCTGGACAGTCTTTAGATAGTCTAGTGAAATCTAGAAATTGTATGCCAAATTTTGAGTCCTTGTATTTTTCTATTGTACAACACCCCCTTTCCAGGGAAAAGGCTAAAAACCAAACATTAGAATCTTTTAGTTCTAAAATATTTTTTTTAAATGCTTACATTCTAAGATGGTTTACAACGTTCTAGTTGAACATCTATTTGGTTATTTGTTATTTACAGCCTTGCAGAGGATCTGAACCATTAGCGATTTCCACTACTGACACGCAGGCTTGCACCAAAAGAGAGTGAACAGCTAGCTTTTCTGAACTGCGCACAAGATATATTAGCTAAATAATGTGTTAACTGGATAAAATGTTTAGACTGCGAGTTGAAATTTGGTAGTACTCAATTTTTAAAAACGTACTTGTATACTAAGACTTATACATTAGGAATAATATATTTAAGTAATCAATCTGTCGATACTTTTCAAAATCAGTCTTAAAGATTACAATTACCAATATGGTTTAGTGACTAAGTAAAAACTGGAAATTCCAGCTCTGCCATAAAGGGACTGTGAAGCTCTATGCAATCCCCTTCACCACCCTGTCCTGTTTCCCCTCTGTCAAATGAGGACATAGAACTGCAAGTTTCCCAAGGTCCCAACTTAGACAACCAAATAGACAAGAATAAATGTATAGAATTATACAGGTTACTTCAAAAACATAAACAAATAAAAACTAAATTAAAAACATTACTGACGAACATGATTTACTCCAGTAATTATTCAGCAACCCAAACTACTTAGTGACCTATGTACCACTCATATGACTCTCTGAAATGTTTAGACAACTAACATCAACATGATTAAAGACTGGTTAGACAAGCAAGTAAGTGAGACATTGACAAGAAAAGTTTGGCAATAATTGGGCATCAAGATGACCAATAATTTGATTTCTTAGGTAGAATCACTATTTATTACTGATGTGCTAGTGTGAAAACAGAACTGTGAGCTAGCTCTACTTGTCACATTCATTCTTTTTTTTTTCTTTATTGATTTTAGAGAGAGGAAGGGAGAGGGAGAGCGACAGAAACATCAATGAGAGAGAACATCGAGTGGCCACCTCCTGTATGCCCCCCACTGAGGACTGAGCCCACAACCTGGGCATGTGCCCTGACTGGAAATGGAACCAGCGACCTCTTGGTGTATGGGTCAACGGTCAACCACTGAGCCACACTCACTGGGCACATTTATTCTTCTTGCCTACTTCATTCATTCTTCCTTTTCAGTTACTTTTACTGCTAACCTACATCAGCCTCCAGTAGCTCTAAAAGCACAATTGAGGTGCATCTTCCTAAAGGACCATTTGATAACCACTCCTAAGGTTAAAGCTATGCAATGATCCCCCCTTTAATCGAATTTCCTTTGTTTATATTCAAGGACTGCTCCAGTTTAGCACAACTTTTTCAGCTTTATCTCACAGAACTCTTCTCCCCGACTCAGTGCCACATCTGCCCTACCTGCTGTTCCCTAGTGTTCACTAGGCATCCCCACCTTTATGACAATCTCTTGACCTCTTCCTCCAAATGAGGCCCAGATGAAATACTGCTTCTTCTTTGCCTCAATGTAGCTTTAATCTACAAATATTTACAGAATTTTTTTCTATGTGCTAGAATATGCTAGGAACAGTGGAAGATGAAAAGATGAGGAAGCCCTTAAGGAACTTATAACAGAAAAAAAAAAACAAAAAAAACTGACAAGCTTACAAATGATATCCTAAAAGGATACAGACTACTCAACATCTTTCAACTCTTTTTATGTAGTACTTGATTGTTTAAAAAATTATGCTTCTCATCTCTTGGGTAATTTTTGCCCTTTATACCCACTCTACCATTTATTCTAAATTAGACCATTCAGAATACCACTGAAAAAAAAAATTAACACTTTTGTTTTCTAAAGATAATTTAGAATGCTTTAGATAAAAAGCTAATTTTCTCTCCAAATTATGTATGTAATATGTGTTGGTTAACAAAACAATATCAGAGTAGGTCATTGTAGAAGCGGGATAAAACTTTCCGGCGTAAAATATTTCCTTAAATGATCAACTTGTCAAGTTGCAAATGTTCATTCCTTATTGTTCTGGGTATGAGAACAAGCAATTATTAGCTGAAATATGACAGAGGGCAATTTGTTTTAAGGGCTAAGTGAAAGTCTGGAAGCTTTGTTCTAACAACTGCTGTTTAACAGTAAATTGGTTTTTTAATAAGGAATCAGGTCTTAACAGTTACATCTACAAGAGCCCTATTTCCTCACTGAAAGGTCCAGATTCTCGTGTGCGAAGGAAATACAAAGGACGGGAGACTCTAAAAGGGAAAAGAAAACTACCACACACCCATCTTGGAAACAATTGTTCGGCTTTGTGACGAGATTTTTCGGAGCCTTCCCTAGAGTATCTGGTCAAACCGCAGGAAAGGGAAGTCTCTGGTCGCTTAAGAGCCGGCCAGGGCGAGACGCGAGGCGTTGGGGGTCCGCCTTTACCCAGGCCGGTGCCACCCCTCGGGCGGACCCCCACCTTCTCCTCCTGTCCTCCCCGCACTAGGGTGCTCGCTCGCTCCCAGCTCGGCCCCAGAAGCAGGTGCCCTGAGCCTG